AAACATTTTGGGAGGGCCCTACGGCCACAGGAGAGGATATTACCACAGTAATTGCTTTTCAAGGGCCAAATCAGTTACTAGAGTTGCATCAGGGCCTTCACAGAGGGAATAAAAACTTCTGGGCAGTCAGAAAGAATGAGACATCGTGGGAAACAGATAGAAGCCAAGAGTCTTCTCCTGTTACAGTTTGTGGGTCAAATGACTTCACCTCTTGATGGCTCACACCATGCAATTTGGCTCATAGCTATCACCCAAGATCAGGGATAGCCCGAAACTGAGCCGTATGCAGATGGTGGAAAGGTTACTCCCTGGGTCTGTTTTATGGCTTGATCTTGAGTCATTGGTAGAACTGTTCTTCAAACAAGCAGAATCTGAAGGCTGTGTATTACTCATCAGCACAGATTACTCATGCCGATGACATGAGTTATGTCTGCAGCTGAGTATCTGGGACGTTGTGTAGCTATTCTCAGATTAACCAGATGCGGGATGCCAGCTGATTCTTGGTCTCTCGCTCTCTTTCATAATCATCTTTAATATGTTATTTGAATGTAACTCTTGCTAAGTTCAGTGGGATGTGCTTTTTAGTAAGTATGCTTCAAGATTGTAGCTGAGGTTCACATCCTACTCCAGCAATGAACTTACTAGGTGGTCTCCAGACAACCACTCTCTCAGCCTAACCCTACCCCTGTCTGCACTGTGTGAGTAAGACTATGAACTTGCTTATAAGGGTATGTAAACTTATGAATGATGAGGAAAAATTAGGTATCACTGGGACATCCAGTGAAGCTGAATGGGACGAAGGTCTGGACAGCTTAAAAGGAAATACTTCTTCACGGTACATAGACAAACACAGAGCTTACTTGCACACTATGTGAATGCGAACAACTGGGATGAGGTGGGGGTGGATGTGGATGTGGAGATTAGAAGAAGATCAGACAAATTCAAAGAGGAAAGACCAATCAATGGCCATTAACAATGATGATTATCCATTTTCACCAACATCAGAAGCAGTATGCTTCTCAATAGGTTGCAAGTGTAGGCTTCCTATGGATGTTTGGCTGTGAGAACACAATGCAGGGTCAGCTATGCTCTTGATGTGAACCAAGGTTCTCTTACATTCTTACGATATTGCAAAGACTGTGTACACAAAGTACTTCGAACACCTCACATGTGTGACTGTAAAGGTGCTGTGAGCTACTAGAAGAAGGAAGTTCACTCCTTTTGCCTAGAATTCGAACAGGCAGCGGGGAGCTCAAATAAATTCCTTTTTCCTGTAGGAAGATAGTTACACTCTTATGGGATTCTTTGGCCCTCAGTACGTGTGCAGAATCTACTCCTCCTGCTTTAAGCTCAGTAAAACTCCTCAATGAAAAACTATTTTCCTTTCTTTAGTCAGAGTACGGCTCCTATTCTGCAAACTGTAGTGTAAACATTGTAGTGTAAATTCTGCAACTTCTGTGTAAACAAACAGAAGTTGTTCTTGTCTGCTATGGGAATAAGTAGTAACAAGACAGACCATACTCTGGAATTAGACTGCAGCTGCACGTTGACTACGATGGGGCGAGAGTAAACAAGTCCTTTTTATCTGCCCCCCATTAACTCGGCTGGATAGGGATGCCCTTAATAACTTCCAGAAGATTCAAGAACAGTTCTTCTTTGATTAAGCATGGGTTAACACATATTTCTAATTATTTTATTACCTAACACTTGGAGATATTCATCCCAAGATGTAGTCTCCAAACTGATGACACAGTTTAGATTGCACAGGTGATGTGAAGATACTTTCTGTAGTTTGTTGTATCCGATTTATGGTGTTATTGCTATTGATTTTAGTGTATTTAAATCATTTATTTATTGTGGGGAAATTTAGAGGCCCCCTTTAGGGCTGAAGGTAACATACAAATCCCCCTTTCAAAATAAATAATCTGTAAGTGGCTTGTAGGCATGGGAATTTTTGTATTTCTTGGACCTCAGCCCCAAGAATTCACCAGGAATTTCTATGGCCAGAATTCTGGGGGCTCTAGATAAGAAATAAAAATCCTCACAGGAATTTTCAATTATTCTCAGTAAGGAATGACGGCTCCATCAGCCATTTTGTTCCTAAGAAGACAACAGAGGAAATGGGTAAGAGTCACTAAACTGCATGGAAGCTGCAAGGGATCCCTCTGCCTATTAGACTCTGTACAGGGTGACTCTAAAAAGACCACCAGTTCCCTAACCCCTTGTGGTTTCCACAGAGTTTAGATCCTCCCACCAGTTGCTCTTTCTTACTCACTGAGACATAACGTCTGACAGAGAAAACTGAAAACTCCCATGAAGACGACTTTGATATTTTGGCTAAAGTCAGCAAAATTCTGGTGAATTCTTGGGACTGAAATCCACGAAATATGAAAGCCCCACGCCATAGCGACTTGTTCACACATATATGTTGTCTCTTACTGCAAAGTCAACAACCCTGTTCTGACATTACACCTGAACAACGCTCATCAATATGTGCAAAGGACACACTATCCTCTCAGTCTCTGATTTCCATGTGTTAAGCAGGAAAATCTGAAAGGACGTTCCATGTGTGTTTGCCTGATAGTGAATGGAAACTCCTACAAGACTAGAAATGGGAAGATGCTACTAAATTCACATGACTAGCATAAAAAGTTTTGAATACTACTAGTTGTGCTAAATAGTAGTTTCAGAACACCAGTGATCTACTGTTCTTGAGTCCTGATGAAGACAGAAAACCACAGATGGCTTAGCAGGTTTACTGACTGGATGGTTTTAGGGATGCCGCATGATGTAATGCAACAACTATCTGCTTACGGGAGCATATTTTCCAGAACTTTGTAGAACTTATCATCCCCTAAATTTAGTAAAACCACCATATTTTAAATATATTATGCACAAAAAAGCTGATCAATATATTTGTCTCAAGCCACCAGATTGAGAATTTTTTTTGGTACATAATATGTGGGGCTAACTTGGTGCAAACTTTGGGGGGAATTTTAATTTTTGAACAAATACTTTCATTTTAGAAGTACTGTAGCTTAAAAACAAGCAAAGTCTCTTACCTTGGTAAATACTTATCAAAACCCATATCAAAAATGTCTTGTATGATAATGGCCTTCCCTAAAAGTAAAAAGGCAGGGGAAAAAATCAACCTCATACATAAGACGTTCAAGACTACACAGAAATTTGAAGGGGAAGGAATCAGAAGAAATGTTGAACCTTCAGAAGATCTTTGTAGAGCTCTGGGTACAGCATGGCAACTTCTGATTTGACATCTTTGTCCAATACAAGAGAGAAAACTGGGAACATGGTGTAGATGGTGGAATACCTAAAAGGAACAACAGAAAGGTCAATTTCTACAATAGTCAGCAATATCGTTTTCCTTGACAAGTTTTCTGCTTACTTGTTGAGGTACTTTGGCTGAGGAGATGCAAAATATAACTGGGTGAGCAGCCAATTTTGCTTGTTCTTATAGTTCTCTACACCATGTATTAATCTATCGCAACTCATCACTCAATTCTGCCTCATTCAGTAAAATTCACAGGAGATTAGTCCAAGATGATATCAGCAATAAGTTCAAGCCTCTCTCAGGCCAAGGCCTGGACCTAGTCGTTTTCAATGGGGAAGATGTAGGGACTGAACCTGCATGCAAAATATAAAGGCTCTGCCATTGAGCCAAAAGCCTCATCCCATTTTATTTATTTTATCTCATTTATAGGCTGCCTTTCTCCCATTGAGGGAGGGGACTGAAGGTGGCTCGCAATGTTAAAATAAGTAAAATTAAAAACACAGCCAATTACTTATTAAAAACAATGAACAACAACAACAATAATAAATACATTATACAATTAAAACATTTAAAACTTTAAAGACAATGTTATTAAGGGACTCAGCGTTATTAAAAGCTTGCCTAAATGACAAGTCTCTCTCTCTCTCTGTCTCTCTCTCTCTGTCTGTGTGTGTGTGTGTGTGTGTCTGTCTGTCTGTCTGTCTGTCCGTCCCCTAAGCTCCACAGGGGGAGCTCTCTGAAACCTGGCAGCAACCACAGAAAAGGCCCTCTCTTCGATCTTAAAACTACTTCTCCTCTGAATTGTACAATTCAAAATATGTAGCATGTTTTATGTACAGAAAATGCATTTGCAAGACATGCAGGTTATTTGAGTTTAATCAAGAGTGGAAACTGGCTGTGCCTCTCTGACAATGCATTTTGAGGCTTGGGTTTGCTGCCATGTAATACTTAAAATGGTCCAAACATACTATAATTAATTGTGGCCAGAATTCACTAGGGCTACAATTTAAACCTTCTGGACAAAATCAGAGCTCCTCACAGGAGGCCAGAGGAATTGATTGCATGCTTTTTTTCTGCAAAAAGGACATGTTGGGAAAATGGCTCTGCTAATTATTTAATTCAGTTGTTTAAAATTTTATATCCTGCTTTTGTCTTCCTCTTCCAAAAGAGGAACCCAAAGCGTCTTAAATAGTTCTTTCTTGGTTCTCAAAAATTGCTTTAAAAGCTTAATAAAACCCATGTGCTTCTCATGATGGCTTAGTTCAAGTGGCTTTGAAAAAAGCAAACCTTCAAAGTCTCATCCCTCATCCTGATAACAACAGAGATTAGCAGGAAGGAAAACATTTGACATTTTGGCCAGTGCCTCTAATAGCTGTGAATGCTTTAAAACATATGAGGGTTTCAAGCAAATCTCTTTACATCTTGAATTTTCTGTTCTCCTATTTTGGGAAAGTGTTTCCCTCTTACCCAATAATGAGGAAGCCTTGGTAGAGAGGAACCGAAGCAAAGTAGAACACTGAAGAGAAAACAGCCTACAGAACAAGAGAGAAAAGACATTTTAGACTTCAAAGCAAAAGATGCTCAATGACAGTGATCCATCCAGATGGTAATTAGGTGGCCCACCACTGGAATACTCTAGCAATTCACAGAAAAGCGTCAAGAGCATCAAGACTGAAACTTGCTACTCCTGTACAGATAGAGACTATTTTAAGAGGAATTGGGCCTGACCCATGCATTTCATTTTAGCTTCAGGTGAACCATGTTTTATATGGTTTTGAAAACTACCGTATTTTTCGCACCATAAGACACACTTTTTTTCCCCACAAAACAGGGGTCTTATTTATTTATTTATTTATTTATTTATTTATTTATTTATTTATTTATTTATTTATTTATTTATTTATTTATTTATTTATTTATTTATTTACAATATTTTTTAGCCGCACCATTGCCAGTGGCTTATGGAGCGAAGAAAACAGATTATATTTTCCTGTTTTCTTCTCCTAAAAAATTGGTGTGTCTTATGGAGCGAAAAATACAGTACATCACCTGTTTGAGAAGATAGTGTAGGGTCTCTGATGAAGTGTATGTGCATATGGGCTCAGAGTATAAAATTGGCTGTAGGATATGTCATGAAAAGGCAAGTCAGTATTTTGGAAGATCCTGATTTTGTCACTTTGCAATTGAATACAGTGGTGCCTCGACTTACGAATGTCCCGGCTTACAACCATTTCCAATTATGATCAGCTCCAGCCGCAAAATGTTGCTTTGACTTGTGGCCGGAGCTTCGATTTACAAACACAAAAAAGGCAGGGAAAAAAGGCGGGAAATTCAAATTGTTAACCGTTGGTAGGCAAAGAGGCTGCTTCTTTGTAGCTCTTTCGCCCCAACGGATAGAGAGTGTGCAATCGGAAGAAGCTTCGGGCTACCTGGCTTCTGCTTCTGAGTGAGCGTGTGTTTGTTTGCAGGGAAGCTTTGGACTGCCTGGTAAGGTAAGGTGCTGCTTTCTGCTTTTTAAAAACTGCCTGTTCAGGGTGGGTTCTGCAGGGTGGGTTTGAGCTGGGGTGGGGATATGTTTCTGTGCTGTGTTGTTGTTTTGTTTTTTGGTGATTTTTTTTTTTTGGCAGCCCCAGTGCCTTCTGATGCGGCTTGCTCCGTTGTTTATTTTTGGGTTTTTTTAAAGCCCCAGTGCCTTCCGATGGGGCTTGCTCCGTTGTTTATTTTTGGGGTTGTTTGTTTTTTTTAAAGCCCCAGCACATTCCTATGGGGATTGCATTGTTTTATTTTTATTTTATTTGGGGGAGGGTATTTTTTTCTTCTGGAACAGATTAATCATATTCCAATGCATTTCAATGGGAAATGGTGCTATGACTTACAACCATTTCACATTACATCCATCTTCTGGAACAGATTATGGGCGTAAGTTGAGGCACCACTGTACAGTAGGATCCTCCTATCTGCAGGGTAAGTATCCACTGATTCACTTATCCATTGCCTGAAAATACTAAATAAAACACACACCCAGAAATATGTATTCATACATATTTCCTGGGTGTATTTACTAGACTGGCTATTAGAGGGAGCCAGAGACCAAGCAATGTATATTGTTTGATAATTCTGCATTTTTTTGGCATCTAAAGTGGGGAGGGGAGAGCTTGGATTTGATTCCCTGTGAATACCGCAGTCCTATTGTGCTATCAACTTCATCCAAATGGTGCTTATTAAGTGGCAAGTCAAGAAAATTTTCAACCAAAGGCTAACTAACACTGGATATAAACAGTACAGAAAGCCATCTATTAGGATTTTTAAAATAAGTTTTTAAAAAATCAGTTTGAACATATGGAAGAGACAATATGGATATCCTTTGATGGTTGTCAATTACTTTGCCATGCTGATCACTGGTTTTTACTTGATTTTATTGGTTAACACTGATTTCTTTTCTCCTTTTGCACACTGTTCCTTTCCCTCTTAGAGTAGAGAGAGATAACGAAGGTGAGAGATGGTGTAGAAGCATTTTACTTACCTGCATGGTACTAATGCACAAGCTTCTGTGGATCACAAACTGGCTGAGAGCTGCCGACCTTTTGTAGCTGTTTCTCCCATGTACCATCAGCAACCGGCCCAGATGCTTAAACTGCGTGATGGAGAAGTCTGCGGCAAGGGAAGCTTGCTTGCCTTCCTAGGAACACCAATAATAATGTCATTATTTCAGATTATTCCAATTAGTGAGGCAGTTGCAGCCCTCCTGCCAGAGTGGAACAGATATCATTTGTGTTCTATAGCATCTACTCTCTGTATCAGGCTGCTTGACAGTTGCAGTCAAATGATTCAAACACAGCTTCATATGTCCTCCATGTATAAAACTATGACAGGAAGAAGCAGTGGTCCCAGGCTTTGGGATAATCTACCTGGATGTGAGGGAGCATCCACCTGTGACTCTTTACAGAAAGAGACCAAGACTTTTTTTTAATAAAATGGTGGATCTTTGGATAACACGTGGTGCAATCCCATGCATATTTATTTTGAGACATAGAATGGCAGCCTTAGTAACTTAGGGGCCGTTTTTATAACAATTAATTCCTACTTTGTTCTACAAGTGCCTCTTCAAAAGAGCGCAGGGCAACATGCACAATTCAGACCCTTTATCCCCTCAGCCAGTCAAGAGAGATAAGGCAAGCTGAGAGATGGGGACTAGCGGAAGTTTGCAAACAAAACCAAAGGGGAAGAGACCCAGTGAGACTGAAGGAGTGGACATCAAAATGCGAAGTCTACTCAGTGTAAGTCCAGTACTCTAGTCAGTCCCCTACATTGGCTCTTATAACGACCATACGTTGGTTTTAAATATCATACACAACTTTGTATTTTGAAAAGCAGCCTATTAGTTATTCTCAATATTTCTTTTCTTTATTTCTTGGTTCAAATTTTCACTTGCAGTCAACTGTGGCATGACCAGAAAGTAGATTCAAAATATAGCAACTTAGTTGTCCAGGTTTGCAACATTACAGATTGAAAATTAAGACAAACGGTCGATCTTTGCAAAACAGGGATCTTCTTATTTTGTTTTTTTATACGCATTCATCTTGTGTTTCATTCAGACAAGCAAATTTGTAGGCACACATGGGAAGAGTAGTTCATATACTTTGGACAGCAGAATGGGCCTTTCCTGTGTCCTTTGGAAGAGTCATGTATATCATCCCAGCTTCATAATGCATAGAAGCTGTGGGTTTTGCTTTAATAAGTGTATTTTTCAAACATTACCTATGGGAGACTCGAGTTAGTTTTTGTTTTGTTTTGTTCTGTTTGTGAGGCAGTAAACTGGATATAATTTTTGTGCAAGAAGAATTTCATCTTCTGGCCTCAGTGGTTTCTTGGGATCAAAGGGGCCAGTACCTTTAATGAGATTTGTACTGTCAGATAAAGGTTCTTATTATATACAGTAGTTCTACGGAAGTGTATCAAAAGTTGCTAACAAGCTATTTAGAGAGCAATGGTCCCCCACTTTAGGGCTCCTGATGGTCTTAGAGTATAACTCCCAGAAACCCATAGAAATAATGTGTATTATCAATAATGTTAATTAAGGTTTCTGGCTGTTCTGTTTCCACTTATAAGCCTAATTCTGTTTATGGTTCCAGGGTTGAGCTATTTATTATAAAAACTGCTTTCTAAACGGAGGTATTGGTATTTATCCCTTGGAGAGTGAGAATATAAGTGACATGTACCCTCTACAGATAGTCCACTAAACAATTAATGTGTTAATAACATCAATGTACTGACTTAAATAGATTTAATTTTTAATTTTGACACTAAAAATTAATTTCTCAGTTTCTAACTCCGAACTATAGCTGCTTAATTTTTAAAACCAACATTGCAAATGTGTCGCTAAAGTTTATGTTCTTTTTACAGTTAAGTGATCACACAGTCTCTGGATACAGATCCTTATCCCTGTGCACAGATGGAAGGGGCTTAAACTTTGCCTCCAGCTGATTTCCTTCCAGTAAATCCTCCCCGTGCCCCGCACCTCTCTCTTGCACTGCTCCCATGCATTTCTCTTGCAGCTGTGATTACTTCCCATTTTTAAAGTTTTTAATAAGGCTGTGCAAAGGCCCACCTCTACAATTTGGCCCTTTCAGCTGCATGAACCTTTATTTTTATGACTACTGTAGTTTCATAGTTTTATTGAGTAGCTTGGTTTTAGTGCTATTTCTTAGCTGCCCTGAGCAGCACTTTCCCTAGAGAAAAGGTGAGATGGGTTGAAATGAAATGACATATATAAACTCTATCTTCTTTTAAGAGGAGGCGAATTTACTGCCTCCAATAAAAATCTTATGGTGGGACTGTTTGGACCTCTAACTACCTTGATTCATATCACTTTTTTTCCATGTAAAACTTTGGCCACATGCTACACATTTCGTATGTTTAACCATCATGCCATCTGTTGAAGTAAGAAGCAAGCTTCCCAAATGCACACTTCTTTATCAACATCATTGGATTAAAAAAAAAACCCTAAAAAGTAATGCACTAAGAAGACTCACCTTTCCTTCAACCCCGACTCCACAGTCTGCCTCTTGAATCATACTGACATCATTCCCACCATCACCTGCATGAGATAACACAGAAAATAGTCATGGAGAATCTCACTTGTGTAAAACAAACCCAGATGTGCAAGCCGGGGCTCCACTGCTGAACCAGGAAAGGATATGAATCCAGCATCAAGGTGATACTGGTGTCCTTACAGCACTTCTTGTGGAGCAGTAAAATGCAAACTGTGATGGTGTGAGGGATGGGTCCCAACTTTGGTGTACAGTACAGCATATGCGTGCCATGCAGAAGGTCTCAGGAAGTCCGGGGCGTTGCCATCTCCAGTTAAAAGAATCATATAGCAAATTATAGGAAATTGCTCTGCTTGGCACAACATGAGGTGCAACAGACCATAGGTATATGTGAGTAAGAGGCATGACTGATATGACTAGGAAGAGGAGTCCACAAATTTAATGGTCTGTGAGGCTCACAAATGAATTTGACCCAACTCCAGGAGGCAGTGGAAGATAGGAGGGCCTGGCGTGCTCTGGTTCATGGGGTCACGAAGAGTTGGAAACTAAACAACAACGAGGCTCACAAAAGGCTCAACCAACTCCGATTGGTGGGGGCAACAAGCAGGCTTCATCATTTAAACTTTAGAGACCCAACACAGCTTTAGCTGACACTAAAGAAGGTACCAAAATATACTGAGCTGGAGAATACAGCAGAAAGTTACTCACCTACTGCACAGGTCAGCTTCCCAGTTCGCTCTTGTAGCAAGCGTACAATCTGAGCCTTCTGTGTTGGGGCACATCTACAGCAGACCACTGCTGGACACTGGCATGCTAGTTCCATAAATTCATACTCGTAGTATTTCAAGCACACCTAATCCATGAAACACAGAGGCATGGTTATGCGAGGGACAATATCTTTCTATTACCAGCCCATCTTTCGCAATACCTACGACGGCAGCGTCATTCTTACCTCCAAGGAATCGCCAGAAATGACAAGGGCGCAGTCATGCTTGCGGCGAAAGGCATTGAGTTCTAAGTGAGCTTCTCCACGGTTTGTCACCTAGAAAAGGAAAACAAAAAAAGGGTAAGCCTTGGAGAGTAAGGAGTAACTGGAAATCGGATCTTGAAAAGATACGGTACAAAATTACGTGAATAGGAGGTGGTTTTGCTCATGAACTTGGTATCAAACCAGCACAGGATCAGGGTCTTAGCATGGGTTATTCAAATTCATCCTTATTATGGTATAACATAAAAAGTCTCTGCTTAGGACAACACTAGGCGCAACAGACAAATTCTCTGAACTCTTGTGTTCCACCGTTATCTCTCAGCTACACTATGCCTGCACAAGAACATCCCTGGTCCATCGGAAGGAATCCTGGGATCTGACACTTCACTGAACATTCACGGAAAACCATTGTTGTTCAGAATTCCCGGTCCTCTCCCTAAACTCCAGTGATCGGCAGTGGCATTCTTGTAGAAGGCATGGAAGAGAAAAGCTGCAACTATTAGCTATGCTTAAACTCAGGTGGCTACACGGTTTTAGAAAGCTAAGCCAATGCATGCCATGTTAAGAGCTGGAGCAGAGGAAGAGCCATCAAAACCAGATTTAAAACTTTCCCCATTTACTAGGTAGTTAGCAAAATGTTGCTTTACATTGGCTTTCTTTCTTTTCTTTTTTTTTTAAGGGAGAAATCACGATCTGTCTTCTCTTGTTTTATTTTCAGAAATGTGAGAGGAAATGGGGGTTGCTTTTTCAGAACATTCTTTTTTTCCACTCTGAACGTCCAAGTTTTATGTACTCCTCAGATGAATCTAGGTGCTGTGTAAATGCAATGACGGTCAAAGAAAAACTAGGTTTGCCTAGTAGATGCAGATTATATTGTAACTGCACACTGGAGCTGGTGTAACTTATTCCATTTGGTTCATAATGTAGCTCTGTGGACAAGTGCTAAATAAGCTAGTTTTATTCATATTACTCACCAGTCTAAATATATGAATGTCCTGGGTCCTGGTTACCAGATGTGCATTCTTAGCTGTACATGTGGCTGTTTCTAGTTTATCCCCTGTAAGCATCCATACCTATAATAAAATACATACAGTATCCTGAGATCAATAATACATTTTAAAAACATCAAACAAAATGTTTAGCTCGTAGGAAGTTTTCAACACATATGTTATATTTAGGATGACTTATACTAGAATCCAGGAGTGTAGAAAAAGTCCAGCTACTATGCATGTACAGTAAACTAATTAATATGACCACACAGGCTTATATCAATGAATCTATATCAATGAATGGAATTCAGCAGCCATGCTACATATTAAAGAAGATATAGTGGAAGAACATAGCAATTGTACCCTTTCAGAACACTGGGATATGGGTGATATTTTTAAATGCTGTTCCATACAGAGGACTCTGACTCTAAAGTGCACACACTCAGGCACGATTATGTTCATCACATGCTAGCTCACATTACAGAGTGAATATACATCTACCCAAAGCATACCAAGATGACACCATTCATCTGCAGTATAAACAGATACATTCCAGAATTCCAGCATCTCATTCTCTGTTATACACAGTATGAAACACACACTACTTATTACTAGCAAAGACAATCCACAAGTTTCCATTGAGGGTTGGGTATGTCTGTTCTATAACTGAAAGGCCTCCAAATGCCTGCAAGCAGCTAAAATACATGCAGGGTATAAACCTGACACCACAACCTGTTTTCAGACATATGGATGCCATTTGAGCATGTCAGAAAAATGCAGCTGATGTATGGTTGAAATATAGGAACCTGTCTTTGCACAGTGGCTCATTTGCAGTGACTTCAGAATCAACTCTTTGAACTGTTGAAAGCCTTGATTAATGTTCCACATAACCAGTATTCTCTCTAAACCTCCTTAAGTCTCACCCAGCATCTATCATAGCAATAATCAATGCAATTTCAGAAAAAAAGATGTACTTGCTGCTGATAGCATTAAAAAAGGGGGGGGACCTGAGACAGATCTGCATGTTCATACATGTAACTGACAAACACAGAAATACAAGAGTTGGCGATAATTTTATAGACCACTGGTCTATAAAGAAGAATACCAGTACATGCCTGACGAAGTGATTCTGATCCACGAAAGCTAGGAGATTGTATGATTATTTTTAGTGGTTTATAAAGGTATCACCTACTCTTGCATTTGTATTTTGTAAAGACCATACAGCTCCCTTTTAGTTCAATGACAAAAAATAAGTTATGTTGAGGCTAATTAGAGTAAATTAAATGAAATTCTTAAAAATCTCTGGCAAAATGGGGACCATTCCTACATTGTACTCTAATCTGAGAAACATATATTTTTGAAATATAAGCCAAGAGTGAAGCAGATAGTATTTGGGGGGAAGGGTGCTCAAGATGTAAAATGCAGCTGCTGCCAATGGTATACTAGCCATTTTATAAAGGCAGCTATAAATTGCTTCATGTGGCAATTGTCTCTGTGCCGCAAGCAGTTTGTATCTGGAGGATCCGCCCCCCAAGAAAAAAAAAGATTTGTGGTGGTAAAGTGAAAATATGCCATAGCTACACAGTGAGTCATTGCACATCATGAGAAAACAGCCACCATGTTTAAAGAGGCCTTCACAGGATAGCTAGAAAGTGTACATGGCCCTCCAATATTAAATATATTTAATTCAGTGAAATGAAAGAAATTTGACCTTCTTAGTATATTGCAGAAAATGGCTGATTTGGTATTACCTAGAGATTGGGGTATTCGTATGAGTATGAAAACGAATATCACCGTGCAGCTGGACTTAACAAGGGGCATCCACTCACTCTGCTGCCACCAACCTATGCTTAAATCACAAGGACAAGTGTTTCTTTCTAAACAAATAAAGTGTTTATTGATTACACAAAATAAAAGGAGTAAATCACAGTTATAAAATCAAGTTGTCAATCACTGTTTATAAGACACTAACTCACACAGACTTTTCCCTCACTGACAGGCTCTTTCTCACCCTCTATCAATCTCTCTAATCACTCATCTTCCAATCTGATCTGATCTCCTCTCACACATTACACACCTTATATCATTGCTCCCACAGCTCCGCTCTCTTCCCGCTCACCTGGCCCCTCGGGAGCCGTGCAGGGAGACTCGTCCTCCGTCCGACTGCCAGGAGTGGCCAGGTGAGCAGGAAGAGAGCAGAGCTGTGGGAGTGATGGGAAGGATGAGTGAGTCTACCACTGCCATCAGATGTGTGAGTTGGATGGCAGTGGAGGCCTTGCTCCAGCTGTGCAGGACATTCATTAAATATATTTAATTCAGTGAAATGAAAGAAATTTGACCTTCTTAGTATATTGCAGAAAATGGCTGATTTGGTATTACCTAGAGATGGGGGTATTCGTATGAGTATGAAAATGAATATCACTGTGCAGCTGGACTTAACAAGGGGCATCCACTCACGCATTTGGCAGCAGCGGCAGCCTCGCTCATCCTTCCAATCGCTCCCACAGCTCTGCTCTCTTCCCACTCACCTGGCCCCTCGGGAGCCGTGCAGGGAGACTCGTCCTCCGTCCGACTGCCAGGAGGAGATGGGGGTATTCGTATGAGTATGAAAATGAATATCACTGTGCAGCTGGACTTAACAAGGGGCATCCACTCACGCATTTGGCAGCAGCGGCAGCCTCGCTCATCCTTCCAATCGCTCCCACAGCTCTGCTCTCTTCCCACTCACCTGGCCCCTCGGGAGCCGTGCAGGGAGACTCGTCCTCCGTCCGACTGCCAGGAGTGGCCAGGTGAGCAGGAAGAGAGCAGAGCTGTGGGAGCGATTGGAAGGATGAGCGAGGCTGCCGCTGCTGCCAAATGCGTGAGTGGATGCCCCTTGTTAAGTCCAGCTGCACAGTGATATTCATTTTCATACTCATACGAATACCCCCATCTCTAGTATTGTCCCATCACAACCAATGGAAAGAACAACTTCAGTGTATCATGTGACCATGTAATATGTTATAAAACTGGACGGAGATGCTCAGGCAAAGAGTTATACTTCAGAACATGCTGCCTATGCTTACTCCAGAATAATTTACTTCTTCTTAGTTTTTAGGGGAATTTAAATTGGACATTGGCAGCTGATTTTTACACTCCGTTGCTTTTCACTGTTACTTCTGAATACGCAAGTAAAGAGTTCATCTCTCTCTTGTGGATAATGGTTTGTGAGCAGCTTTGGATCTTCTGAGAACTTGCTGTCCGTTTTGCCACACAATCCACTACTATGTATTTGACCGTAAATCAGTAGCTGATACATGAAAACATTGGTTCTGTGATTTGGCAGGATAGGAAATATGAATAGTCCGTAAGGAATTCAGAAACAGCAACAGCTCAAGAGCTGTTACAATTTCTAATGAAGGCAGACACTGCATGCATTTCAAGCATAAAAACAGCAGCATGATAATCATGGCTTTTCTGGGTAACACAAAACAAAACTTTAGGTTTAAGTTTGAACTGAGTCTTTATAGAGCCATCCTAGCCTTTTCTCCTCTAAGTTCAAGGGTGGCTATAAAGAAGCTATTACAAATATGCAAAGTGCATCGATATGCCGGGTATATAATACAGTGGTGCCTCGCAAGACGAAAGTAATTCATTCCGCGAGTAGCGCTGTCTTGCAAAATTTTCGTCTTGTGAAAAGCGGTTTCCCATAGGAATACATTCCAAGGCATTCCTATGGGAACCTCACAAGACAAAAATAATTCATTCGTCTTGCGAGGCATCGGTCTTGCGAAAAACATTCGTCTTGCGAAGCACGGCCATAGAAGAAGCCATCTTGTGAAGCCCCACAGTGATCCCAAAAACCATTTGTCTTGCAGGTTTTTTGTCCTACGAGCCGTTCGTCTTGCGAGGCACCACTGTACAGTATATTGCCAATTAAAACAGAATAAAAGCAGCAGTTAATATGTTCTTAAACCTCAGTGTCCTATCAATCATGGTCATCGAAAGTCTGAATCAATGGTCTTACAACGATTTCAAGGTTGGGTTTGATCTGTATAGGAAACCATAAAATTAAGCACAAACTTAATTCAGGCTAATTTTCAATGTGTGCTCCCTCTGCTGGCCATTTGAAGAAAGGGATCCAAAAACTTCACATTTCAGGAGTGTTATACCCCAAGCTTCAACAGCCATGTGCTGCCAATTTTGCATGCTACACAAAACAATGTGTCAACTTTTAATGCTCCCCCATGCAAAGCCAAGAAACCCTCAAAGACTCCTTGCAGGCATCAAATTAGTAAATAAAAAACATTTAGCACAGTCCTTTCCCAGTGTGTTAGTCTTCATATCTACCGTATTTTTCTGTGTATAAAACACTTTTTCATAAAATCATTAGACGAAAAATTGAGGGTCGTTTTATAGTAAAATCATTAGATGAAAAATTGAGGGTCGTTTTATACACGAAAGAGGCGGAGGCCGAGGAGCAGCCGCGCTCAGCCGCCTCTCGCAGCTGCCCACTGACTGCTGCCGCTGCCTCCAGGTCAGTCTCCTCCAGCGCCACTCGCGGGCTCCCATCAGGTGGGTGACAAGGCAGCGACGTAAGCTGGAGGTGAGCCCTGGCACTGGCAGAGGCAATCGGGTGGCAGAAGCAGCAGGAGGAGGCAGAGATGGAGGAGCAGCCACGCTGGGCCGCCCCTCGCAGCTGCCCAGCAAGGGACAAAATTAGGGACTATCTTATACATTGGAGGGTTGTATACATGGAAAAATACGGTATGCTGCTTTTTAACATGAAAGAACATTTGAAAGAGTACATTCCCAGTCTTATAGTCTGAAGTCCACCAGTCCAGATTCTACCATCATGATCCTTCACTTTTTTTCCTATGCTATGCACAATTTAAGTATAAGGGACTGTTTTGAGGCACAAGAATGGAGTTCTTAAAATTCAGGTGGATGCCTGTCCCTGTATGTGTGTGCCAGATCATAATGTGAAGTTTTTGTGAAGTTCCATTACTGTCAGGAGGTAGGCCACGGAATTCTAAGGGGAGAGCGGGTCCCAGATGCTTTTGGACTACAAGTCCCAGCAGTTCCCACCAGCAAAGCCAATGGTCAGGCCTTCTAGGAGCTCCAGTCCAAGGCCAAAATTCTGGGAGTCAATATTCCAGTTGTGGATTGCTAGCTTCTCCCCAGAAGTTAGCCTAGCACTTAATCTGATGGTTTTCTAGGGCCAAGAAAATACTTTTCAAATTTTATCCTAGGTTTAAAAAAATACTTGATAATTTGTTTTATTCTGTTTTAATGCTCCACTTAGATTTATTTTTATGTCGTTCTAACTTTATCATTATGTTTTTATTGTAGCTTTATGATAAGCCACTCTGAAAATTTAGTTGAATCAAGTGGAAATAAGTGGTTTTTTTTTTAATGAGGGGGAGACCATAGGCTAGATGACAACACAATGCAAAAGTGTGCAGCTTATATACCACCACACAGTGCTAAAGCACTCTCTAGGTGATTTACAATTTTTTATTCTTATTTTTAAATTTTTTTTTCAATTATATAGGCTGCACACTGGCACTCGGCCAGCCGGTACTCATTTTATCAACCATGGAAGGATGGAAGGCTGAGTCAATCTTGAGCCCTTGCAGGGGGGAAGACACAGTACCCATAGACTTTGACTTTAGGATTCAAAGCTTCTAGTTTAGCCATACCTTATGGTGGCCCCTAGGCCTAGTCATACCTTAATCCCAGCATTTCTCAGAGTTTCCAGAGTAGGTCTGACATCTGCTTGCAGTTGATCCTCTACTCCAGTCAGACAGAGCAGTTCCATCTCCATTTCTAGGCTCTCTATCACAGTTGCTACCTTCAAGGAGCGGTCATGGACGCTCAGCTTTGCTTGGACATAGCGTGCCTGGCAAGACCACAAGAGACACACGAATCACTACTCACTCAGTTCTGAGGCATGCATACCAACACAAAACACATGAAGAAAAAGAAAAGGTTCTATGGAATGAAAAGTACAGCCATGGGATTGTCATGGATGGCAATCCATGACAGAAAGCAGGCTTTTGAGACAAAACGCATTCCCTCTTTCCCATTATTCTCTCATCATTGTTAATGTTTGCATAGGTTGCTGAAACCCCCCGACTAACAGACAGCCAGACCTGGGAATAACTGAAACATAGCAGGAAACATATGGATAGGGTAGCTCATGGGCTTCTAGCAGTTTCCCCTCCGTCCTGAAACCAGATGCAAAGGGATCAGCTCGCATGATCAGATTCGTTATCAAGTAGAAGAACATGAGTGGGTCATGAGCCAACTGGCCGCCATCCACAGGTCTGATGAGGCCCAGAAGCAGCCAGCTGGCTGCCACTCCGAGAAACGAAGAGCACACCCAGACCAGTATTCATGCTACAATTTATTTTTATTTCCATTTTGTCCTTCAGTCCTCTGGGAAAAATAATGCGCCACTATCAGCTGATGACACTTTGCTGCTTAAGGCAAAGGACAACATGGCGCTCCTTTCTTTTTCTTTCTTTGTAGATGAATCCCAAAGTTGGAAGTGTCACTTTTATACATTGCTCAGGTACGAATCCCTAGTGAGTTTAGCTCCAGTTGCCCCAAACCTCAACACTTGACAGTATCTGAGGGAGCAGGGTAGTTTAGGAGACCCAGAACAAGTTGTGTGGTATACTTAGTTTTGTCCTCCAACACAGAGCAATTGCTACGTGGATCATGAAGATCAGTCGAGGGCAACTGCCTCACTATGCCCAACGGAAGGACTGGCACTGCTTCAGTCCTGATGATGTGGAAAACAATGCAGGAAGTGAAGGGCAGTTAAAGATAAAATAGGGAGTGGAGTAGAAAAGATTATGGCAAGGAAGGATAAATATGTGTAAATGCCAAGTATACGTAAGCACAAAATATTTTGCATAGCTACACTGGCATAGCAGGAATGATGTCACCGGCATGTTGTCATTAATTAAAGAGGTCCTGCTTTGTAACTTGCATGTCATGAGGTGAAGTTGCATGCCACCTGAAACTGAAACAGGGGCTCATTAATTAGCCACAATCTGCTGCTGCTAATGACACCATTCCTACTACACTAGCATAATAGGATTACAGTGTATAATAGGATTCTGGCCTATTGTATTTCAGATCTTTGCATGTTTCCCCCATATATATTCATGTGGGACCTTTCCATAAAACTAGGCTTTGAAAAGTTATTTCTCTGGACTACAACTCTCAGCATCCAAAATGTAATCCAAAAAAAGTAATTTCTCCAAGTTTGTGATTACAGTAGGACCCCTGTATCTACAGGATTAGTACCTGCGGTTTCACTCATCCAGAGTCTGAAAATATTAAAACTATTAAAAGAAAAAAAATCCAGAAAAACTATTTTCACATGTATTACCAGAACCAGCCACTAGAAGGAGACAGATACCATGCTATGAATATTTGTTAGTGAAGAATACATAGCATGGTGTCTGGTGTGTCGTATGCATTCCGGCAATGCACATGAAAATATTTTCTTCTGTGTTTTTTCCCCTTTTACCATGCTATACATATAGTGTTTGTGAGTATCTGTAGTTTTCAGTATTTTTTTGGGGGGGGGGCTGGAAACAATCCCCAGCAGACATGGGGGTCCTACTGCACATGATTCTTCCCTGCCCAGCATCAGTCATCAATTTTACTGGGTTTTTCCCTCAGACACTTGTCAATGGCAGCCCTAAAACAGAGCTACAGTAAAAGCTAACACATGAACCAGTATGGGAAAGGACGCACTAGCAACAGTAGCTGGAAAAGTATCCAGAAGAAAGTCCTTTATTAAGAAAGACCCATTCAAATGCATTATTATTCTCTCTCCCACATTTTAAAGCTAAGTGAAACAATCTCACTGAGCTGTACATCATGAATGATTTACTTACCTCAAAGTCTTGATATTGTTCCTCTGTCAGAGATTTTTTTGCTACCACAAGGACCCTCAGCCCTTCCCTTGCCATATTGCCACACTATGGATGAGAGAAATGTCCACACGTCAGTGAGCTACCATGAAGCGACGGATTCACAATTAGTCACAAAATAAAATTACAAAATAACTCTTCTCTTACATTCTATCAGACGGGAAGAAGATTTTGGTCTTTCACTGAACTATGTCATAATATTGCTACTATAACTTGTACAAGAAGCAAATCTTATGACTAAGTGGAAATCTTGGTTGTCCCAACACAATGTTTATAAGCTTCTATATGGTGTTCCTGGGTTACAATCCTCACTTCCAATAACCATAAAAGAGACTTCATCCCATTAGGTGATGAGGTGAACTTGAAGGCTAGAGACTTCCAAACGTGCAGAATCTTCATGCAACTGCTATTGCCCAGAAAAGTTGCCAGTTCCCTTCCACACTGAGGACCACAAGTTAGGATTCATCCCAAGCAGGTGCTCATATTAAGCAAGTTTGGACAAATTCAGTCGGAATAATTTGGAGCAGCATTTTGAAATTGGAGATGATTTTTTTAAAAAAAAAATCTCGGGTTCTTTCCATCTTGAATATGAATACATTTGCAAACTTTCCATCTTGAATATGAATACATTTGCAATCAAGAACAAAAGCAAAATCCTCATCCATCATTAGGTTAGTGTCTGGTGTTCTTGGACCATCTCCTGCACTAAGACTATACATGTAAATCTTTTATAGATTGCCAATCAAGAAAATAGCAAGTAATTCAGGTGTTCTTGGACTGTAACTTCCAGAAACCCCAGCTAGCAGAGCTGGTGGTAAAGGCTGCAGGGAGTTGCAATACCAGAACACCTGGGGATCCAAGGTTAGGAAGTACTGGTCTGTTGAATGGCACCCCCTGCCCCAAAAGATTCACCTCGTATCGATATTATAGTCTTTCCAAAGCCAGATGAAAACCTTTTTATTCCCCCAGGCATTTGAAGTTCTTTGTGTGTGTGTGTGTGTGTGTGCGCGTGCATCTAGAGCAGTGGTTCCCAACCTTGGATAACCTGGGTGTTTTTGGACTGCAGTTCCCAGAAACCTCAGCCAGCACAACTGGTGGTGAAGGCTTCTGGGAATTGCAGTCCGAACACCTGGGTTACCCAAGGTTGGGAATAACTGACATATATGGATTTCTATGTAGAGACACAGCACTAAAAATTATTTTTGCCATTTAAACAGGAACACAACACATCTCACTAGAGTAGGAAAACTGTGACCAGACAACTGGATGGCCTGTTGAGTGTGTTGTCCAGATGTTCACTGTGGAGGGAGAACTTCACAGTTTTGATCTCTCTCCTTGGTTTTTTTCTTTTTAATCTTTAAATCAGACTCACACTGAACAGGCCTTTTAATAGAAGATCCCTTCAAAAAGACAATCTTCATCTGCATTGATCCCCAACCTTGGGCCTCCAGATGTTCTTGGACTTAAACTCCCAGAAATCCTGGCCAGCAGAGGTGGTGGTGAAGGCTTCTGGGAGTTGTAGTCTAAGAACATCTGGAGGCCCAAGGTTGAGGGCCACTTATATAGTAGACTGTGTTGAACCTAAGAGGGTATGTGAGCAATCTTCCTGCAACTGCACCAGCCAGTCTTGCACTGGGAAAGCTGCTTAAGAAGTAAAATCAGACTGGACAGGTTGCTTCTTACCTCTTCTTCGAGCCAGTCGTTGTACTGAACAATGCCGGCCATTACCACATCAGCCCCTTTCATGTAAAATGTTATTTCCCCCGTAGACTCATCCTAAAAGAGACAACCAGATGGAGAGGGGGGGTTGTAAGTATGCATATTAAAACAGATAGCGCAATATTTATTTCTATAATCTATACCCCACAACTGTAATGCCGCACCAGCATTCCAAGCGTCCCAAAACCTCAGAACAAAAATAAGCTAATCAAGAAAATAACAAGCAGACTTAAAAACAGACAGACAGGGACGTCACAGTTACGTCTAACAACATGGGATAAACCAGTGTGACTAAAAATGCAGCTCTAAAGGCTTAGAGCAACTGGGAAAGGAAAAGGAAAACTGATTGTGGAAAGACAACAAAAGTTAAGTGAAATGTAATGCAAAGTACAAAAATTCCTGAGAGCCAGCGTAGCGGACAGTGTGTTGGACTAGGATTCAGGAGACCTGGGTTCAAATCCCTGCTTTTGAAACTAACTAGGTGTGGTTTGCAATGATAAACATCTTGCATATCTTGAATACTGAGATGAGGTCACCATATGTCATATGCAACTTGATGGCATATAACAACAAAATGTTTAGATGATGATGTGTATCGTCAATATAGATCCTTTTTTTATATAATTTCTCCCAGTTTACAAACTATGACACAGGAATCAATGCAGCCCACAAGCCTACACCTTGACACAATTTCTAATTCCTTTAGCCTAAGGGTAGGTTTTGATATTTCAGTCTTGAAATATCTCAGGAGCTCTTGCATAGATGATGGAGGATGTTTGTTACTCCAGAGAGCAGGGCCAAACTACATGAAAGAGGATTCCGTCTGAACACTAAGACCTTCTTTGCAGTATGAATGCTTTGATAAGCAAGCAATCCACCTAAGAAGCTCTTTCAAAACTCATGGGTATGCTCCCCACTTACCACTCAATGGGACTTACTTTTGCATAGACATTCATAGTTTTGTACTGTAAATGAGGAATATGGATTTACATTAAAATAAAATTTGATGGCTCTGTAGTCTTCTTTTAATTGTTTGTTTATTATATCCTGCTCCCATTAATGATGAGCCTATTTAGGCCTTATAGCTTGAATACAGGGAGGGCTCAAAGCATGGTGACAGAGATGCACACATAAGCCCCAACTCCTGTCTCCACCTAACTGGAGAAAGGTACATATTTGTGTGTTCACAGCAAAGGTCTGCAGCAGTGCCTGTAATGCATCTGATGAATATGCTTACAACAATCACATGATCTGGATTTCTAAGGACTCCTACTGTTGGATACACCCCAAGTGACGTAAAACTTTCTCTTGCCATTTGAACAAGCCCTTGGAGACTGAACGGAGGGACACCATCTTGTCCTTTCCCTCAGGCAACAAAATGTCTTGAGCTGACTGCTCAGCCCATTACTCTGTACCTCACTCCATAGAGTTTACATACATTGGCCAATATCCTGTTCAGTTGTGCAGAGCACCAACAGCAGAAGATGCTGCATTGAAAGGATGAGGTGCTGATGAGGTGCTTGACTGCATGATCTGATTCTGCCATGACATATTTGGATATCCGTGCATGTAAATTTTGAACAGGATACATCAGCCACTGCTTAAAAACACAAAATTTTGGAAAATCTGATGTCACCTCCCACATTTGCATTCACTGAATTTGAGACTGAAACTAAAATAAGATTTCAGCATGTTTCCGAAAGCAGAGTTTCAGTTTTCAGAATATGGACCAGAGTTACTCTACTGGAGGCTCACTGTGGAAAATTCAGCTGGCTTGTTGCAATCATTGGATGCAAAAATTGCCACAGAATACTCTCCAACATCCAACTCTAGCCTGACTTCTTGCTCACGAGCATTGCACATGGCTATTCCTAAGCTTCTGTTTGCAGAATGGAGACCCTTCCAGATAACGAGATCTGTTGCATTCTCTGTCAATCTGCAGGACCTGAAAATAGGTATACTGAAGTTTGTAGCACTATTGCAATTAGGATAACATGACACGTAAATGCAGGAGGATTATTTCATTGGTCACTTGGTCTCTGTAATTTATATAAAAAAAGAATTTGAAAGAGAAGAGCCAATCAGTAGAGCTCAGGAACCGAAATAAAGCTTGTAAAAAAACTAGAATGGAAGACTTGTGGTTCTCTTGGAGATGCCAAACGCCAATTTCTATCAGATCCAACCAGAATGGCCAATGATTATGGATGGTCGTACTAGCTGAAGCTGAGAGAAAGTGGAGTACATCAGCACCTGGCGGGACACAGGTCGTTCATTACAGATTCACCAGCTTTGTTTGCCTTGTGCCTGTTCCTGGAGATATTGGACTTCTTGACATTGATCATTAAAGACGTCCTTCTCCCCTCCTGTGTCCCCCAATAGCTTCTCAGCAATCAAAGTGATTCTATATGAGATTTGGGACCTTTTGGGGGGTAGAAATCACCACGGCTAATGATGTCATCAGATTTATGTAGCATAGTTTATGAAACAAGACTTCACTTTTAGTGATACTATCTTTTAACTTCATTTTAAGCCACCTGTAATAGCAGGCCTGGGAGAATGAGGGCATAGAAATGAAACAAATGAACTCATAAATTCCCATTTTGACTTCTTTAAAAAGGTTTTTTTTATGAGTTAGCTTGCAGATTTCTGTATGATTATGTGATCTCTATTCCAAAAGCTAATCTAGACTTAAACATGCACAGTGTCACTGAAATCAATGGGTTTATGTGCATTTAAACTTATGCTGGATTGTGATCCAAGTCTTTTGTTGATTTTCTTATCATTATTCATCTGGGGTTTAACTCTATTTCTATATAGGGAACAGTTGTATGTATGTGAATGTAAATTGCCAATTTACAATTAGAGATAAGCAACATACGACAGAAATATACCCTAAAATGAAAGTTATCTAGCGTCACTTAAAATAAATGCTTGCATATTAGGTAGTTTAAACTGTTAAGAAACGTTTTAACAACTTTTTGATAGGAAACTGAGCAAAAACTCCACTTCCTGTGGTGCAGAACTAACTTTAAGAGAGTTTAGATCTTTTGTCCAATATAAATAATATATCAACTATCTCCTTGCATTAGTCATTTCCTTTCACCAAGTTCAGTAGGAGGTTAGCACGTTCCCATGTTATGGCACGATTACAACTATAAATCTACAGAAAGATTTGCCAGTCGTATTGTTTCTCAACCACATCTTTTTCCACCATGGTCTGATTTTGGCCCAAGTTCAAAGGCCTCCTCCGCCCTCCCATCTAACACACAATAGCACTCTCTTGAGTTGCAAAGGAAACATATTCCAATCCAATTGCTCAGAAAGAAAGAGAGAGAGAGAGAGTGGAAACTTTGTGGTTGCACACACAAGCAACCACCCCCTTACCAACAGAGAGAACAGCAACCGAATACTTGACTTGCTACAATGGAACCTCTTGAACCAGATATCTAAGAAATTGAGGTCCCTTTCATAGTTCATCTCTTCTCACCAGTAAGACATTGTAAATCCAAAAGAGAGACAATGAATGCAAATCTTGTTTATAGACGGAGAAGCTGAAATTTTGGAATTTCCACACCACTAACACCACTACAAAACAAGGAACATGTTTAAACATCAGCTGTTTTTAAATTGTCTTGCATGTGAAAAAGTGTGTGGAGAAGAACTGGATGCTTCCTTGTGTTATACAAAACAGAATTGATATATACTTTTACAGCACTCCTCTGTCCCCCTCACTAGAGAAAAATACATACACTGAGAGCTTGGTACAGGAAATATCACAAAGTTCTGCTTTGGACGGTAGATACATAGAAGTGCAGGAAACAAAATATATCATTAACGTCACCTTTATGGGTCTCTTTTGGTGCTACAACCTGAGTTTCATTTCTTAGTTGGATAAATTTTGGAGGATGATGCAGTTTTGCCCATTACTGCAGTACAAGTTGGGTCTCCTGAGATTACCAAATAAAGCCTGTTCAGATGCCAAGGCCAAAAAGAGGAAACAAGCATAAGTAAGGGGCAGAAAGCTATGCAGACTAGCCCCATCCCTGATGCCTCCAATCATGTTGCACTAGTAAGGAGGTCTAAAGAGGATCCTCCATTTGCCATTGCTTCAATGCAAGTAGACCTTTCCATGCTCTACCTCACCTACTGACCTTTTCAGAGAATGAAGGTGAGAATGACCTGCCTCAGCAGGAGGGAACAGAGGCAGAGGAAAAACATGAGGGACAAGTTGTTATCTCTTTTCCAGAGGCATGAAGCACTGAGACAATCTTACCAAGGAAGACCTAAGTCCTTCCAAAGGTAAAAGCACTGAGACAATCCCTGGCCTTGTCTTGCCAAGGAAGACCTAAGTCCTTCCAAAGGTACCAACAGCTTAGTGGATGAAAACCCTCTTGACCCTAGAGAGCACTTGTGAGTTAGGGTGCCAGAACAGGAACACAACAAAGGCAGCATAGTTTCCCCCCAAAAAAACCAACCATCTGCAATAAATTATTAAGTAAAGCCAGCTGAAGCAGAAAAGGATGGAAGGCCAGGGCCAGTAAATGCAACCATCCTAGGGAAACCCAGACTGCTGAAACTAATATATGCATTAGCCTTACATTCTGCTCTAAGCCTCCTTGTATCACTTGGCCCTGAACCCTTGCCTGTTGATTACGGCTACTGACAGCCTGTTCCTGATGGTCTCAACTGGCCTTATCAGAGTAACATGCACATGATTTATGGCTCATCTACTAGCTTGCATGTTCTACTCTTGCAGGTTCTTCGAATCTTGGCTCTGAATATTTTGTTGCTGATCTGGGCAGGCTGTGGACTCTCTTGCACTTGTATTAATGGACAGTTGCCGCTTCTGAAGGTGACAGCTCTTCTGTTCATGGAGTGAGGGGCTGGAGACTGAAGGGCTACCTTTGCTCATGTTTGTCTCAGTCTTGCCTAAACCAGCAGCTGCCAGTCTCTTCTTTTATGTGGACCACTCCATCACCATTAAAAGCTTTTGTAGACCAACATCTAAAGCAAACTAATTTAAAGTGGTTCAGCACATAGAGCAGTGGTTCTCTATAATCACTGTATTGAAAGAAAGAAAGAAAGAAAGAAAGGAGTTTCCCCCCCCCAAAAAAAGGGACTTGTAGTGAACTACTGTATATATTTTAATTAATTAAATTAATCTACCAACATTACACCCAAGGGCCAAACATCACTGACTTCATGACTTAAATTAATCTGGTCTCAATTAGCTTAGTTTTAATCATTTTAACTGTTTTAAGTTGCTCTGTTTCGCTGCACATGGAACCAACAGAGGCAAGGCAAAGAAAGAGGACAACCCCCGGCCAGGAGGGAAAGCTAATCACGGCAGTAAAAGCAATAAAATAGGGGTTGAGTGAGCACTTGTTTGAAGCTCCCTGGATGGAACATGAAACTTCCACTGCCACATGAGATTAAAAAAAAAGAAGCCAAAGGAAGCCGTGTGGTCATTACACAATACAAAATTGTAAAAGAATGTGACATCTTTATTAGACCACTAAAAATCAAACGACTGAGTGACTTCTTCATTGAAGAGGTAGGGATTTTGTATTCCACAAAAGCTTGCATGAACTGTTTGAGTTTTAGTGGTCTAATAAATTTGTCACAATCTTCTACAATTTTGCCACATGTGAGCAAGCAGAGAAATGAAGAGGTGAGCACGGAGTGTGAGGTGCGTATGTATATAAGAGAGAGAAGAACCCAGAGGAGTCTTTAAAATATGATGGGGGGGGGGAGAAATTAGAGTTTTTGTTAGAAAAAAAGTGGAGGGGATTTGGAGAAGTTACTACTCCTTTTGCATGAACACAGCGTGCAAATGCAAAGAATGCAAGAGTATTCCGTTCTCTTTCTCTTTCAATTTTTCTGCACAGTGACCAAGATTTGTGTTCTAATCTCCACTTGGCCATAAGACTCACAAAGTGACTTTAGGCCACTCACCTTCTTTTAGCCTAACTTACCTCATAGAATTGTGATAGAAAATGTAACAAAAAAGCCATTAAATAAATGAGAGAATGCCATATTTCAGAACTGGTAAATAAACCCACACCAATTACAGATTATAATAGAGAATGAAAAAAAAATTATAGGTTGATGCAAGCAAATGTCATTTTATATTTCATCACATAAAGGTCTCAGCTCTTGGAGGGATTTTCCTTTTCAGTAGCTTTGGCCCGTTGGTGTACCATCATTTGCAGCCTGAAAAGCATCTCATTTCAACCTGTGGAAGCTCTACAAAAATGACAGAGTCACCTAATGCATGTCAGAGGTCTACCTGACAACCATTCAGATATTTGAAGATGATGATCCTATCGCTTCCTCTCTGCTAAGCATACCTAGCTCCCTGGGAGTTTCCTCATAGAATGTGGTTCCCACACCCTCCGCCATCTTGACTCCTCTTTTCTAGGCATGTTTCACCTTCTCCCTCCTGCTGTACCATAGCTTCCACACAATGAGAGGAATAATATGGGAGCTGTGAGCTTTGAACAGAAGGCACATGTTCTGGCTACAGGATTTCAGCATTTATATAACAACTGGACAAAGCAATTTGTTGGGAATTTCTAAAACGTAAAAAAGATCACACATGGCACACGCAGAAATTCACAAAGAGTGATCAAAAGGGTACTTAATTTCATCCAAGTCCAGAATTGCCTCCCTTTGCACATGTAAGTACATTATTTGGGTAGTGTGGGCGGCATAAAAATAAAATAAAATAAAATAAAACAAAACAAATAAATTATTTCCATATGAGCAATATCTATCAAGTCAACCACTGTAAAAATGAATAAAGGAAGAATACACCATAATCCATATGAGCAATATCCATCAAGTCAACCACTGTCAAAATGAATAAAGGAAGAATACACCATAATCCATCACTCCTCAACTTCACACTACGCAAGACCACATTCTATCTTTTGGTAAAAAAAGAATCAATCAATCAATCAATCAATCAATCAATCAATCAATCAGTCAGTCAGTCAGTCTATCTTTTATAGCTACCTACCTACCCAACTACCTACCTACCTACCTACCTATATACAAACCACCCAAATCCACACACACACACACACACACACACACACACACACACACATACAAACCACCACCGCCAAAGGCCTCTCTTGGTGGTTTACAACATATATAAACAGCATGGGTTTTTTTTTTGTTAAATTGTATTAAAATACAATTTAACAGAAGAGAAAACAGAAATAATAAAATGCAAATAAACAAGACCATCAAGATATGAAAATACATTTACATACAACATTCAGTACATTTGAAACATTTTAAATGGCCTTACAAGGTTTTATGCTTGCTCTTGCTAGACAACTGGACAGACGCCATCACAGACCGATGTGCAGTTGAGTAAAACTCACCCGAACAATGATTCCCATTCGTTTACTTTCATAAGTAAAAGGGAAGATCTGGAGGATGGTGTAGTTTAAGATGTGGCCACCAGGAGTCCTCAGCTGCACAGAAGACTGGTCTCTGCCCACCAGTGTTAAGCCTACACTTTCAGTCCACTGTACCAGGGCCACCTAAACACAAGAAAAGGTCAGAGGTCAGATTGCCTGCAGAGCTTGGAGGTTCAGAGGTCATGCAAATGGAACAGGAGTGAGGCAGGAGAAGGGAAGCAGGAGAAGCAAAAAACAAAATTATTCATGTCATTAACTGTACATTTCCCCACTGAATTGAGCTGCTGTTGTTGCTGCTCAAAAGTGCCTATTGTGCTGTGGAGAGTGCCTGTATTTCTTCAGTGACACGCTGTGGCTGGATTGCAATTTGTTACTGCTGGAATAATTTCCCTCCTCAAGAAGGCAAAACATCCCTGCATTTGTGATGAAGCAAATTCAGTGGTCTGGAAGTCAGGGAAGGCAACTAGTTTCCACAACAGAGACTGGTATTATTTTAAGGCTGTGAAAATTTCACAAACATCTAGGAGTCGAGCGTAAAGTGGCTGGGAGTTTCTTTCTTTCCTTCATTTATACATTTTTTAAAGCCCCACATGTTGCAGGAGATCAATGTGCCGCAGACAATAACTCTTCTGTTTGGCATACGTGACAAAAGCAAAATATTAATAACGTTGTCTGACATCTTGTTGGCAACACCCCTCCCCCAAGAGCTATTTGATAAATCGTTGCAGGCTTGTATGTTCCCAGCATATAACTGGCCTCCTGCTAAACAGACACTTTGACTTTCATGAATACTGTATGTTCTGGTCTATGGCAAAATGCTTAAAGCTTTGTTATTTAAATTACACTAGACGATGATAATCCATTTCACTGAAATCGCTGCTGAGCAAAATCATCGTCTAGTGAAAAGCATATTTCCCCATTGGAATGCACTGAAACCTGTTTAATGCGTTCTACTGGGGAAGAATCGTCGTTGTCTAGTGAAGATCAGCCATTGGAAAGCCGCTTTGCGAACTGCCAATCAGATGTTTAAATAGCTGTCTTGCAAAGCTTAGGTCCTGAAAACACCCATTTTGCGAGCACGGAGGGAGCTGTCAAAATTGTTGTCTAGCGAAAATTGGTTTGCGAAGCAGGGACCAAACATTGTCCACCGAAATTCCCCCATAGGAATCACTGTTTTGCGAATTGCTATAGCAATCTCAAAAAGTCAATGTCTAGCGAAAAAACTGTCATGCGGGGTAACTGTCTAGTGAGGCACCGCTAAGGATGTTACACCCACCTACCCAAATAGGACCTAGAAATGAGATTCTGGACTTTAATTAGGGAGGAAAGGCTATCTACATTCATCTAGGAAAACTAGAGCCTTCCTTCCTTCTTCCCTCCCTCCCTCCCTCCCTCCATGCACCGGTTTGGCTACCACTCATGGATGAGTCCAAGCTCTTTTGGGACTTTTTGGCACCCATTCGCAAGAAACAGCTGTACCGCAATTTTTAAAGGCTGATGCTGTTTTAGGACTGACGCTACTTCCCTGTCCCTGCCTTTCAACCTGTATATATTTATAAATGAATGATCGATTTTGAAAACAACAGTGACAAAACTGATCCCTAAAAGCGTCTGCTCAAAAGAAGAGGGGGCTATGCAAACTCTTTGCTACATTCCATGCATTTTTTGAGAAACACTTCACCACCTTCTTAGCTCTTCTAGTTGACTGTTTACTCATTCTGCTAATTAAACAGCATTAAGCTCTGGGAGTAGGGGAACGGTGGCGGTTAACACTGCTTCTCAGTTGGAAAAAGGAAGACTGGCAGGAGGAGAGAGGAAGAGAGAGAAATAGACCCCAGTTTATTAGGAGCCGATGTTCCATTGCCTCTGTGGGATCACGTGGAACATTGCCAGTAATGCATTTGATCAGTACATTCTTCCACATCCTGGGAAGCAGTGAAGTGTCAGAAGGGTTAAAGGCCACTTTGCCACAAATCCTCCCGGGCAAGTTATCTCTGATCAGATTTTACCTATTACATTTCCCCTCTGTTACTGTATGGCCTCAACCTGACAGGATCGAGGAGCCCCAGAGGCTGTAACTGATCTCTCAATAAAGATGCTTTCAAGAGCCCTTGCCCAGGAATGCACACAGGAAACAAATCTAGGAAATCCTGCTTTGTGTTTCAGGAAATGAAACCTGTGCCAACTGGTAGAAATTACCCTCGCGGTTCACAAGTGGAAAAAAAAAAAGAGAGCCAGAGGGGGGCCGGGAATACCTCCAAGGTTTTTCTCCTGATTTTGGCATAAACTGACCTTCCTGGCTTAATATTTTATTGCTATAGAATTTCAAAGGCAGAATTGGGACGTCGGTGAAGGAGCCCTTTCATACATTCCCCCCTGGGAATTGCTGTTTAACAGCATCTCTCCTTCCACTGAAGGTGTCACTGAGCATCCAGCTTCTTTTTAGAAGTCATCTGTTGTAGGCTTGAGATAACATAAGGCAATGTTTAACACATTTTTAGAGTTAGTACATGCCAACTGACTCAAATAAATCAGGCAGACTCCTGTCGCTTAGGATCTGAAGGAATCAATGTTCTCACACACTGTACAAACACAACCCACTGACACACGTGGGTTTCATGCGTGAGATTCAAGCAGCCCCCAACCTGCCCACTTGCTTTTTCTTTTTAATTTATTTTTATTGGAGGAGGGAATAGAGAACTGCCATTATTGAAAGTTTCTAAGAGTGCCTTTAAAATAAAGCACACCTGCAATGCTGTTTTGCCCCATCCTATAAATGGGGGTTTGCAAAACTAGATGTCAATTTGGGGGTCACTTTCAGATGCATTTTGGGGAGCTAGTGCAGTATAGATGGTGTCTAGGTGGCCACCTCCCTGCAATTTGCCCAACCCCAAATTATAAGGTACTTTGATCCTTATGGATGGTGTAGGCAGAAGGTTTTAGAGTAAGTGATAGTTACATCATCTAATAATGTTTCTACCACTGATACAATATATATATTGCTCTCAATATAACAGCAATGTTACAGGATCCCCACTTGCCTTTCCCCCACTGAACATCAGGAGCCATGCCTTGGAAATACTGTATATATTGCAAGCATTTTTAAGGCACATCTTACCTCATCAGGACTAGCAGCTTGGTACACCCTGCAAGAATCTTCATAGTGTTTCTCTGCCTCAGCCTGATCTGTGACACCATTTGATTCATAGACAGGAGTTACGTTGTGGCAGAGAGCAATGGCTTTCACTGCTTCATGGACACGGCTGCTGAGAGTTTTGCGGACTTTGGTAGCCAGAGTAGGGCCTTTTGAAGCAGGTGGCTCATGGGATTGCTAAGAAAATAAAAAGAGAAAAATACCACCACATGCATTAGAAAAACATTGTTTCCATTAATACTCCCTGTTTGCAAGGGAAAAGCTAAGGATTCAGGGATAAAGGCCCTGTAGTACACTTCAGCAATCAGAAAATCAAACTTGGTGAGAGAAAATATGTTGCAGAAGGCCAAAATTAACTTAAAATTCATGATAATCTCTGGAAGCCCCAATGTATCTGCCTTTAGAAGTACATTCTGTTATCAAACACTGTCGCCATTTCTAAAGCATGTCTTAGACTGAGGAACAAACCCTAAGGCATAATCCATGGATAAGTAACTACCTTTAAGTCCTATTGATTCAACGGAGAAAAACACACAAGCTTAACATTCCCATAAAATGAAAGAAATTTGAGGTGCTTCATTTTGGGCGGACTACACAAAGCATTTGAGTGAGAGTTGGGGAGTGGGGGAGCATTAAAGAATACAGTGCAGTTAACACTGAGAGTTAAGGTTTAACACAATTATTTCAGCATATGGTTACAATATTGTATGCTGTTTCACTATCATCTTCATAACAGCACGAGGTAAGCCATACGTACCCAATCTAAAGAAGGGGAAACGAAAGACAAAAGATAGTGGCATTCCCAACTGCATGGAGTAAAATTAAATTAAATTTAACTGTGTTTTTACAGTGCATTTTTACTGTTATTCATTTTGTGTTTTTAATATATTTTGGCCTCTTGTTATATATCTTCGTAACTATGTTACTGTTATTGTTTATGTTGTTGTAAACCACCCAAAGTGGCCTTGGCTGCCAGATGGGTGGCTGGAAAATAAATAAATAAATAAATGAGTGGGAATGTGAATCTCTAGACTGAGGATTCGAATTCAGACCCGTATTCAAATCCAATAACCCCTATAGGACCTGTATTAACTACAGCATCCAAGGTAGACCAAACCAAACTACGAATCCTGGAAGACTATTTTCAAATGTTTGCATGTTGAAGAAACCTATTTAAAAACATTTACTCAAAGTAAGGGAAGAAGAATCTTTGGCTTTTATTGGAACTCTTCCCCCCCCTCCCCCCACAAGCTGGTGCAATTCTATACTGGAAGACTGAATATAAACTAATTAAGAAAAAATTAGATGAACACATGCAGAACCCAATAATTTGTCTTCAGTACCAGAACTTGGCTCATAGCCCTTTCCATAAAAGAACAGATCTAGGTCTTCACCCAAGCTATTTTTTGCTTTAGAAACCTAATATAGAGAAACAGTCTCTTTTGTTGTTGTTGTTGTTGCTGATGCCACCGTCAAATTGTGTTGTTATTAAATTCTGCGTCTACTGTCCCTCTGTTGTAAGGCCCCAAGAGACCTACCAATAGGCCCCATTTGATCTTCGGCCTGCCTCAGTTCAGAACTGGGGTGGATGGGTGGATTTGTGGGCTTCAGATATGGTTGGACTCCTGTCATTTACCATCACCTGGTGGTTGGGGCTGATGGGAGTTATATTTGAGCAGCTACATAGAAAGTCACAATGCTCCATTAGCACAATAAAGGAATGTGGCAGATCTGCATAGAAAGTCTTCATAGCTGGATGGGAAGACTATTGCTCTCAATTTCACCTCTATAAATCTGTTCCCTGAAGGACCATGGCCTGTCTTTCAGTTGCACAGTTTAACTGTACAAGAAAAGAAACTTTTGGAGTGAACCAAATTTTATATTCTTAAACATGATTGTTGACAAAGACAAAACAGATGGGCTCTTGGTTTGATTCTTTTAATACTATTTTTAGAGTCCACATCAGGCCTTCCAGGTAATTTTACAATTACTAAATTATGCTGGTCACAGGGGGAACATATAACCATCTAGTTTCCTGCTCTGTTAACCTCTTATGTCAAGAGGACAAAAGTTTCACTTCCAGGTCAAAGGGCATAGCATGGTAACAATAATTAGAGCAATGAATCAGAACTACAGTTTAAATGAATCATGGCCAGCAAATGCTTCCAATTACCAAAGAATCTAACCTTTTTAATTATATTTAAACTTATAAAGGGGATGCTCCCCTTAGCACTGCCAAGCACCACTTGCGTCTTATTAAATAAAGCTTTATTAGTTAAAACGTGAGTTTTGATAGAGTTTGATATTTGCCCTCAACTGGAGGCAGCTTTGCTCAGTTTCACAACACTACCCGAGGGAAGCAATATTCTGATTTCGTTTTCATGCTCACAGGCAATGAAAGCCAGTATATAAGGCAGCGACGAGTGCATTGAGAGATCCAAGTTCTATTCTCATCAAGTCCAAAAACACACTGGATAATCTTGAACCAGCTGATGACATCCATTACAGGATAAAGCATAGGGGGAAAACATGATTAATTTAATAAGTCACTTGGGATCCAAAATGCTTTGTAGCTCCTACTTTAAGGAACTTCGATTGTTTTATTTTTTTGCATAAGATTCTTCTTGTCCAGTTTATCTCTTCAGCCCCTAATTATAACCATAGATTGTTTCAGAAATTCCCCACCATTTAAAAAAGAGTGTACTCTGTGGCACAAAATGCTACGTTTGAGGGAAAAAAGAGGCCCGAATCCTACTGGTGGTTATATAAGGTTTCCATAACTTGCTGCTATTAATTGTGGCTATTTGATAAGGTACCGTATTTTTCGCACCATAAGACACACTTTTCCCCCACAACACAGGGGGGGTGGAAAGTCTGTGCGTCTTATGGAGCGAAGAAAACAGATTATATTTTCCTGTTTTCTTCTAAAAAACTGGTGCGTCTTATGGAAAGGTGCATCTTATGGAGCGAAAAATATGGTACCTGGTCATATCTTTGTTATATAATATAACCAAGCACATGCCCAGACATATAACCAATATGTACTCATGCTTATTAGCCACAATTGTGTAAGGTTTGTGCAGCTTGCACAAACCTTACACAACATCAGTAGGATCTGGGCCAGCAAGTTACCCAAGAGCTGCCTAATGGTTTTTTAGAATCATGATTATACATTCGGATAATGCTGTCCAACAAACCTGTGTATAGATGCTAAAGATATGGCTCTGAACTTCATCCATAGAATCTACTCCATAAGACACTGTTCCAAGATGAAGGCGTTTGAAGACCATCTCATTCTGTGTGAGAGTCCCTAGAAGAGGAGCAGAATTATAAATTGCAGTTCAAACAAGGGCAGCTGAGCAGACGCATGCTTTTTAAAAAAATCCTACTTTCTAGTTGAGAACAAAGAGAAGAGACACCACACCATGAACATTTTCTTATTTCTAAAATTAGGATGAAACAAAAAATAAGAGGAAATCTCAGTATACAAATAGATTGACAGTGGGATCTTATCCCTGTCTGTTTGGAAGCAAGTCTGTACTCTACCTGCTTCCAGAGAAATGGCAATTATACTGCAGATTGAGCATGTGCAACCAACAGTAATGTATAATATGAGAACATCCAGGTCTGTGTATATTAATATCAAATCTCACTTTTCTAGGTGGAACAGATTTATTCTGAAATACACTTCTACTTTTCCAAATTGGACAGTCAAAAGCACAAATGGCCCATTTAAACGCTTTTAAAGGTAAATCAGAATGCCTCGGATTGTGTTTGTATCAAATGTCAGTTTCCTCAATCATATGGCCATTTACTAATTAAGTCACTCATACAGATATCAAACTTATTATTAAACTGGCATATAATTTAGAAAACCTAACATTTGATACATGCAACCTGTTCAATCCTGTATATTAGTACTCAGATGTGAGTCTAATAGATGGGGCTTAGTCCCATGTAGGCAATTACAGGATTACGGAATTATACCTTTAGCCAGTGCAGTTCGAACAGCTGTGAGTATACATGCACATGTGTACATATGAACATGTATATTCACACACACATACATATACACATGGATTATAAACTGTAGCTGGAAGTAGATTTTTTTTAAAAAAATCACTGCATATATCTCAACATGTAAGCTGTCCCTAAAAGGACATATTGAAAGTCACACTGATTTTTTTAAAAAAAACAAGGACTATTATGTTTATATAATTAGTAATTTGTTATGTTAATTTAAAATATGTCAGTGAGATGAAAAGCTAGCTCTGATGAAAAATAAGCAGTAGATTTATAAATTCCAATGCAAAAACATTTCAAAATCATAGAGTGTTCAATTTTTATAGAGGGATTTTCATAATACTGTATAACCTGGCTGGATAGGTCAGTGGTTTAAGTATCTGGCTTTGAAGCTGGGAGTTTGATTCCCCACTGTGCCTCTTGTGTAGCCTTGGACAAATTGCACAGTCCAGTCCCAGAAGAAGGAAGTGTAACCCACTTCTGAGTATTTGCTACATAGAAAACCCTGGAAAGGGTCGCCATATCCCAGAAGAAGGAAGTGGCAACCCACTTCTGAGTATTTGCTACCTAGAAAACCCTGGAAAGGGTCGCCATAAATCTGAATTGACTTGGTGGCACATGATGTCGATCATTTAATAATATGCCATCTGTGAGGCTACTACACATAGAGCTGATTTCAAGTGATACAACACATTGTTCTGTATCTACAGAGGTTACATATGAGAAGGTTCATGTTTTTAAATAAACCTTCATGCTAAGGGTTTCCTGGAAGAAGAAAACTAATACCTCAAGAAAACAAGTTGACACAAATTCTTTTTTCTTTACATACTAGATTTTAATTTGCAGGGACATTTTTCTTTAAATGCAGTGGAATGTCCAGGAAAGTACATGCCCCAACTGTACTCAGAAACACACAAGAATATTGTGCTCTCTCAATTGGGGGTTTGTGTAGACCACCTTTTCTTCCAGACCAGAACCTGGAAAATTTAGTTCTTTGGACTACAACTGCCAGACTACACAACCAGCATTATACTGCTGGACGGGGGATTCTGGGAGCTGTAGTTCAAAACCCTTACTCTCCCAAAATCTAGCCAAAAGTGAGGACAACTAAAACACATTGACCTGAATCCTTTTTTTTGGAAAAAACACAATCGCAGCAGTAATCACACCAGTGGTTCCCCTTATGGGGAGTCCATTGTGCAACTGAGGAACAGCTTACCCAATTACTACTGCATATGGACCTTTTAAGGAAGGGAAGAAGTGCCAAGGTGGGGAAACATGGAAAGATTACAAATAGAGGAAAATAGCACCTATGGCTTGAGTAAAAGTCTACGAATGAGGCAGAGCAATTATAGCATGAATGCAACCCAAACATAATATATTCAATCCCCAATGAGACCTTTAAAATATACAGAACCACATACTGTCAACGCCTGACTCCTCTCCCTTAAATATTTTATGTTTAAGAACGCTACCCTGTGCTTAAAAAAAAATTCATTATTTTTGAAAGGGAATTACTTTAATACATGAATGAATAAAAGCAATTTTACCTGTTTTATCTGTAAGTAAATAGGATATTCTTCCTAATTGCTCTGGGATTGTGCTGGATCGAACCACAGTGCCAGGAATTTTTGAGTCCCTCCGGATCATCCAGCTATAAACTATTTTCCCCATGTCAAGATTCACACGTAAACTGTATAGACAGAACAGATAGCCGGATGACCAATTAAGAAACACTACATAGAAAACATTCCTTTAAAAAAATATATATATAAGACATCACTGCAGGAAAATACCTCATGGTATTTATTTATTCATATAAATTATTATATAAATAAATCATATAATTTATTCAAATAAAGAAATTCATCATATTATTTATTGGTTATATTTTTATTCTGACTTTCCTCTCATGAGCTAAGGCATCATACATGGCTCTCCTACCCTGCAATATATTCTCATGACAATGTAACTTATAAGGTACAGTACTCATAACTCAGGCTGGTGCAGAGTGACTGATTGGACCAAGGTCATCCATTGTGTTTCATGGCTTATCAGGAACTAAAATCTGGACCTCTGGAGACCTAATCTACCACTTTAAACACCACACACGCACACTCCTAAGTTAAGTCATCAATTTCTGGCCATAATTAGAAAAGAACATGACCTGCCTTAAATTACGTACCAGCGACAGAATACCCTACAAGTCCCAAGGACTAGATTTAAAGTGAAATGAAAGATTCATGAACAAGAACTCCTTTGCAAATTCATCTGGTGTTTTTTTTTTAAGATAAAAATTACTACGGAGGAAACTGAAAACTCCAACTCAGAGCAGGAGTTGGGGGCCACTGGACACATTACCTAAGATGACACCCAACCAGTGCTGAATAGAAGGGAAATAGTACTTCATGGGATCCGGAGACTATACTTCTGTTAATGCAGCCCAAAATAGCAAATTTGATAAGGATTCCCTGCACCATATCATCCAAGTCATTAATAAACATTTTGAAGAGCACCAGGCCCAGGACTAAGGATTGTGTACCCCACTTGTTACCACCTCCCATTTTGAAATGGAGCCATTCACAAGCCACTGTAGCCAACAGCCAATTCTGTAACCAGCTGTGTATTCACCTGATAGCCTTCTATCCAGCCCACACCAAGTTAGTTTCCTAGTCAGATTATCATGGGGCACTTTTAAAGCTGAGGTGGGACTGCCACGGAGGACTGGATAGAGCAGAAGGATGTGAACAAGGTTCCTGCTAAGCTGGGCAAATGCGTGTGCGCGCAGGACTCTGCTTCCCTCTGCGCAGCTGTCTTCTTCCTCCGCACAGCGATCGCGTTAGGTTCTGGTTGCGACAGAACCCAGCATGTGGGGGCCGGAGTCACGCACTCACGCAAGGGTGAAGTTGCACAAGAGAGAGGCAGAGCAAAATTAGAGGGTGCGGTGGATGTGACCCTTTATTTGCTATCTATGTTACCTTCAAGTACATCCCAAATACAAGAGCTAAAGCAGAACACTGTAACAAAATTATGACACAACTTTAATGGTAAAGGATAACACTCTCCTACCTAATAGGAATTATATTTGAAAAAAGAAGGAGAAATCTGATGATCTGAAGGTACCACCGGCCAGCAAAATGTTGAAGAGCCACCATCACAAGGGAGACCACTACCAAAGCCCCAAAAAGGATCTTGGTGAGGCAGTTCACTTCCAAGTCAAAGAGGCCAATCTGAGAAGTAGGAGGAAACAGTCACATGCTAGTTACAAATTGTTTCGTATTCTCACAACCCAATGATTTTGGGATGATGTTGAGACTTTCTCTTGGCATAGGTGTAAATCAGGTAACCAGCAATATACAAGGGAACTTTCCAACAATATATTCTGTAGCCAACCTGGGATTGCTTGTGTGTAATGAGCAACACAAACAAATAGATAAAGGAATCTTTCTTCCTATCTTGTTTTTGCTGTTGTTTTTGTGTACTCTGAAGTCACTTCCGACTTGTGATGACCTTTTGATTACCTTCAAATGGTCCTGTCATTAATACTCCCGCTCAGGTCTTGCACACTCAAAACTGTAGCTTCGTTTATTAAGTCAACCCATCTCATATTTGGTCTTCCTCTTTTCCTCCTGCCTTCAACTTTTCCTAGCATTATTATCTTCCTCAGTGAAACATGTCATCTCACAATGTGCCCAAAGTATGATATCCTGTCCAGTAATTTTTGCTTCTACAAAAACCTTAAAACCCACTATATTATTCCTGCCTGTCCTACCTTACTCCGTGGATTTGATGTGTTCATGACACTGCGCAGTTCCCGACCAGTGTACAGAACAACTCCCACAACTGTTCCTAAAAAAACAAAAGTATTAGAATTATAACAACACACAGAACTTGAAACACAGCTTATTCTTATGGTCTGCCACCTCCAGGGTTCTGTGTTTCCTCAAAATCGAGGTACACCTCTCAAACAATAGTTTGCAAAGGTTAAGAAACACTTTCAAAGTGAAAGAAAAGAATGAAAATATAAAAATATTTTTATGCTTTGGCCAGATTTGTGGGATTTTCCTAAATCTACAAATCCATTCTAGCTGTGCTATCTAGTGTGTGTGTTTTCTTGCAGACATAGATACACACATTTTGGAGGTGCAAGAAAGATGTCTTTTTCCAGCAATTCTTCTGATGCACCGGACCCCTGTTTATTTTTATTTGCCACTCATGGCACCTAATGTTACATTCTGACTTGGTTACTCTTGAAACTCAAGAACCTTACACCAAAATATTACTGACTGATCAATTCATCTGCCTAATGACTAGCCAGGTTAAAATGTAATCTCTAGCTGCATGTTGGAGAGGCAGTTCCATCTCATTAACCATGGTAACCAACAGACTGCAGGGGAGGAGACTAATAGTTTCATTATTTGAAAGTAATGTCCCTTCTCATGCATATATGTAGATGAATGGCAGATCCAAACACACACTCTTTCCCCCCTTTTTAGGGCCATGGTTGAAAGGGCAGGAACTTAGCTACATCCACTATATAAAACAGCAGAAAAATAGAGAAGTAAGAGACAAAGACTTCCCTGCATTCAAATCATAAAATTCATTTCTAAAAATTACCTATTAAGCATATGTATTTTGATACCACCTACAGATTCTCCTGTGCCATGACTGTTATTGCATTCAGAGCTGTAAATTTGCTCTTCTGGAAATTTGTAAAATAGATAAAGAGTATTGGCCTCATGTGGCCAAAAACACGTCTCCTCAATCTGAAGAGGAAACTAATCCCAGAGACTTTCTCTATGATGCACAACAGTAGCAATCCTGACAACATCCTCATGTTTTAAGTGTACACGTTATTCATTTTTTACTAACAAAAAAGAACAAATAGGGTGAGTGGCATTTTTATCAGACCATTAAGATCTCAAAAATAGACACAAGGTACTTTTTGATCTCAGCCAGACTCTTCACAAGGCAGGGCTTTGCAGAATTGGAATCTTGGGGGAGTGAGAAGAGAAAAAAAATCAAAACAAACAAACAAACAAAAAAAAACCTCATCCAGACTTCACAAGGCAGGGCTTTGCAGAATTGGGATCTTGGGGGAGTGAGAAGAGAAAAACAAACAGAAAAACAGAAAAACAGCTGACCAAATAATTTTGTCTGGATGTTAAGACTAGGCCCTCTTACTTAAACTGAGCTTCAAAAGGATCCTGCAACTTTTAATATATTTCACCTTGAGCTATGTAGATGCTATTGTCTTCCTCTAGCTCCATGAACAAAAGTTTGCACTTAGATATACTTCCCACCTCTTCCCCAGTGAGCAAAGCCAGAATATTTACATATGTGTAGACAAATTTGTTTAAGTGGGAGCTACACATTACTGATGGCTGAAAGAAGTGCCAGTGACCTGAAGCAAGACGTAGGGGAAAGGAAACCATAGATAATGGAAGCTTGTTGTTTTATCTCCTGTATCACCTACAACCTGACTGGGCAAAAGGGTGTCTTTCATTGCTAAAAGTCTGAAGCTTTCAAAAAAACAATAAATCACACACACAATGATAATTAAATGTTTCTGAGATCAAGAAAGACAACCAGAGAAGCTAGGAAGGCAAATACACGTGCAGACGGAACAGAAAAACAAAGAACAAAATTTTCCACACATTGTTTTAAAATTAGTGAGTTTGGTCTTTCACGGCTAATCTGTAGGACACTGTGTGACCAGAAATATTACAGCATATCCAATCCTTTCCAACCAATTTAGAGGAGAGTATGTGGCCCTTCCCCTTCCGAACGTCTCCTTCTCCACATGGAGAACGCAGAGAAAATACTCTTTCTCAGAGGAAGAACAGCATTCCATTTGTTGTGCTTGCGGTTGAGAGCCCAGATATGGACACCACCCAGCTGCTAAAGAAAATTATTATGTTCCAGGGGGTGATGTGGACGGAGTGAAAACAAAAGCAAAAACAAAACCCCTAAGTTGTCCAAATGTAGCCATGATGGTTGGAAGATGCAGGGAACTGAAATCCAAAAAAATCAACACTTCCAACTTCTTCCCCTGAGATTTGATCTTAAACTAAACTTCAACTCGCTGGGTTTCCTCACTGGATCATTAGCCCTTGCCCATCAGCAAGCCTTTGTCTGAACACTGCTGAGTCTCTAAAATGAAACTGCCCCCTAAAAGCAGTCAGACTGCAATAGTATATATCAAGTTGTGGTCACAGGAAGCTTCCAGCTGGTGTACCCCTCAAATTGAGCCTGAGTGACCTACAGTGCTTGCCTTGATCTTAGGTGGTCCTTAGCAGGTATGGAAAATGTCCAGATATGAAAAATGTTATTGGGGAGGGAGAACCTCCAGAATCCCTCATCCATGGTTATCGTGAACCTTTCCTTCCCCAATAGCCTACTAAGGGGAGAGGTAGAAGATATAGGATAGCAGAAAAGCAGGAAGGAAGGAAGGAAGGAAGGAAGGAAGGAAGGAAAGTCCAAAACTCCTGAGTAACCCAAGGTTAAGAACCAGTGGATTGAACAGAAAAACAAAGAACAAAATTTTCCACACATTGTTTTAAAATTAGTGAGTTTGGTCTTTCATGGCTAATCTGTAGGACACTGTATGACCAGAAATACTACAGCATATCCAATCCTTTCCAACCGATTTCATGTCCAGACATGAAAAATGTTATTGGGGAGGGAGAACCTCCAGAATCCCTCATCCATGGTTATCTTGAACCTTTCCTTCCCCAATATCCTACTAAGGGGAGAGGTAGAAGATATAGGATAGCAGAGAAGCAGGAGGGAGGGAGGGAGGGAGGGAAGGAAGGAAGGAAGGAAGGAATGGGTGGCAAGCACATGAGAGAAGAGCTCACCTACTTCTAGCATTGGCACCATCCACTGCTAGCTCCAGCCCCACCCAACACCAACCCAACTTTAAGTGAATTGGCCTGTCAACACAAAAACATTGTCCTGTACACGGAAATAAGCTTATATGGAAAGAGGAAGATGCATTAACTGCCCATACAGTTATGCGCAAAACAAAACTCTCTCTCTTTAAAAAGTATGTATTACTCTTTGATTTCTTTGCTCTCACTTTATCTTTATTTTTGCAAATTGAAAATAAAAAGAAAAAATTAAATTGAACTAACGAAGAAAAAACAAAACAGCAAAAATGTTAAATACAATAACGTTAGCACTCACTATAAACCACTGTTATAAATTTACAATATTCTTTGATTTCTTACAATTGTATGCATGGTAAATTTGGACATGTTTTTACAAGATGCTGTCCTATAGAGCTACGGAATCATGGTGGTCGTGGACCTGTTTACTTGTAGGTCTCTTCCATTTACAATTTATCTGAAATCTGTTCTGTTACAGATTTAAAATGTCAATACTGAGTAACAATTAAGTGCCATTCTAGGAGTGGATGCTTTGTCAAAAAGGTTATTGGAATTCCACTGGTCTTCTCATTTTTAAATGTCCAGAGGGGTAATTAGATGTCGGCTCAAACTCTCTGACTGTGTTGGGACAAGTGGGAAACTTCATTCCAGAGACTAATTTCCATTGACAAGAGATGATTATTTCAATTACAACAGATTTTTTTTTAAAAATTGCTAACATACCCCCTTAGAAATTCACACATCCTTCCATTGTCCTTACCTGAAGCAATGACGGTGCTAGCCCACAGGGTATTTTCGATGCTTAAGCTTTCATTCACAGGAGGGTCACTGTCTTCCTGAAATAATCACACACACAAGCCCAAAAAGAGAGCTTAAAAGCTACACTGTACACCTTTTTTTTCCTAACAACAAAGATTGTGTCACTTTGATCCCTCATAAATGGCCACAAAGTTGTTGAGACGTAAACTCCTCAGTGTTCAATGACTGCTATCATAGGTGTGAAAGTGGCATCAAGGTGTGATACACTTCAGTCTCTTTCACACTGATGTAAATTATAAAAAGCAATTCCGCCAGGCTGAAGAAAAGGGAGAGGAGAGAAGCAGGGCTGCTATTAACCATCTTGACACCCAGTTCTTCGCCTCCTGCAATGGTCATCTTCAGAATATTAAGAACTTGTGCCTCATTTTGTTTTTCTTTTGCCATCCCCTTATTTTGCTTTTGTGATATGTCTTTTTAGATTTAAGCCTAAAGACAAGGGGCTGTTGCCTTCTAAAAATTGATAACAGAGGTTTTTCTGAAATTTATTTATTTATTTAACTTGTATACCGTGCCCATTAGTGAGAAACACTACTGAAAGCCTCTACAGCTGTAGAAATAATAAACAGCAGTATCTGAAAAAGCCAAATTAAAAAAAACCCAACCCATTCCAAACCTCTGCAACAGTATATTGCACAAAGATGATTGGATTCCATGCATATGTGAAAGTTTCATGATAAAGACCAAGAACGCCATAAGGCCCTTACATATAAAATTACACACATTCAAAGCTAGTTTTTAAAGGGTAAGACCGCATATGACAGTGCTTCTTGATATTCTAGAGATCCACTTCCGGCCATAGCAGATTGTGTGCTTCTCAACAGACCAATGGATGGGTTCTATTTAAGGCATGTGCCTTTTATATATATATATGTATATGTATGTGTGTGTATATATATGGAAGAGATATATACTGTATATGGAAGAGAATCTCACCAGTCTGTCAGAGATTCTAAACTCACACCTAATAAGGTCACAGTGAAAAAGATTAATGCAACCTGAAAGGGACATAAAAGAGGCATAACAAACATGGCAATACCTGTTTGCGTATGTATCAGGATATTTATATATTTATCGTATTTTTCGCTCCATAAGACGCACCTCTCCATAAGACGCACCAAATTTTTAGGCGAAGAAAACAGGAAAAAATAATCTGGGAATTTTGTTCCATAAGACGCATACACTTTTTCCCGAATGTTTTTTTGGGGAAAAAGTGTGTCTTATGGTGCGAAAAATACGGTGTATATATATAAACTTATATGCCACCCACTCTATCTAAAGGTCTCTGGGCAGCTTACAACAATTAATTTCTATCCCAGCTTTCCCTCTAAACATCGCACCCAAGCTGGCTGGGTGGCTGGCTGCAACCATGAATGGGAGCATTCCATGTTTCAACATTTTGTTGCCGACCCCAATTGCAACAGAAAAAAAACCCGCAAGCTATTGCCCTAGAAAACACAGGTGTCCACTGAACTATCTGCCAGCTTACTTTATTAGACTTGCACCTTATAAAATAAATCAAAGGTATCTCTTATGTTGAATTTGCAGTCAAAATGCTTACCCTAGTGAATGTTCCAACGAAGTTGTGTATGTCAATGTTGGGTTCCTCTGCATATACATATGACCGGGTTTGAAGAAGGTCCTGTAGAGAAAAATTGAAACATTATTAAAATATTCATAGTCTCTCTCCCTAAAGGAATGTCAACACAGAAGGGAACACCTGTGGTATTATGACTAATTTCAAGGATGTAAAAAAAAGCCACAAGGTGAGAGGCAGAGTTTGGGATGTTCCAGTCAGCATGGTTCAAAAAAAGTAATTTTCCAAGCTTGGGAAAAGAAAGGATAGAAGAATAGAAAAAATAGTGTAAACCCCTAAATGCACAATGTGATGGAAGCAATTGGGGAAAATCCTCTGCCAGCAATTGTTTTTGAATTTTGATAAAGGTGATGCATCCCTGATCCAGCAGATTGCTGGGCAGGAGACAAAGAGAGAGTGACACACTGCTAGTCCCAGTCTTCTCCATTGCTAGTACACGACTCTGACACATTAAGTAAGACAGAATGAAGCTCTCCGTAGGGAAAAACATATTAGAAATTGTATGTTTTTATCACAAAACTCTATCCCATCTTTCCATCTAAATACTTTCCAATATGGCATTTTAAAGTATTGAAATGTTCTCATACAGCTCCCATTCCTTTCAAGGAAGGTGGCACAGAAGAGAAACCCAAGTGAATGGCGGCCCTGGTTTTTAGTTTTGCCTGCATGTTAAAGGATGGGGGTTTCAAAAACAACCATCGGCAGCACACTGGGAAACCTGACATACCGAAGCCGTGGGCAGCCTCTGAGTGCAAGTAACCGGTAGGCGTAACTTCCAGTCTGTTTCACCATCCAGCTGATCCGTACGGAGGAAGCAAGACCCTGTGAATTTTTTATTAAACACATTGATTATGGCTTTGGGAGGCATTGTTCTTCAAGCTGTATCTTAAATATACCAGCTTATTTAGGATGAGCCTTATGAACAGGGTTGCCAGGTCAACAGCATCCCATTTCCTAAGATTTAAAGACTCTGTGATATCACAGAGGCAAGACAGATTAGAACCATAGTGAGAAATTTTTTCCCAGTGCCTTCTATAGCTGCCTCCCGGGTTTGTGCAACAAGAAGGCTCATGAGTTGTGGTACTGGTGCCCCACTGTCTTGCTCCTTGGGATCTAATGGACCCAATGTCAGCATGACAAAAAGCCAGGAAGAAGAGGAGGTGACCGGGAGGAGAGACAATGGGTGCAGGCACTTGGGCCCATCTTGCCATTTGGAGCAACCCACCTGACATACAAACATCAAACTCTTCTCCTTCTGATCTTGAGATTTATGGGACTGTGTGATAACCCAGAGAAGCACAGCAACTCCATGAAGCTTCAGCTGGTGTCATGAGACCTGACAACATTGCTTATAAGGACTTCATATACCAAGGGAAGGTAAGATATAGCTCCTCTAGTATCCCGAGACTCTTTGACTCCCCATCCTATTTACCTCATTAGTGGCAAACTGTGCTATCTCAAAAACACAATTTGCCATTTAACCACAACCCTTCTCTGGGCTTGGCTTAGGCCTAGAAATGGGGAAGAACGTAATTTATCTGGCATTCCTTCATGCTTCTGGCCAGCTACATAGTACATTGCTTTCTTCTACATCCAATGAAAGCAAAAACTATTGCAAGCACAGACATCCTGGGGGAGAAGTGGCAGCAGTATTTTTTTTACTGTTTTCATCTTTGTTGTGTTTTTATTTTGTTGTCAGACCTGGGACCAAATTACACCAGAGTTGTGGAGAACTCCATGCATGCCTCCTTCATGCACTTTTGATCTGGGTCATCGTCTCTGTATGACCCACAAACAATTTGACAGAGGCCACCAAGACTGTGCTTGAGTAAACACTGCCACTGGCAGCTGTTCACTTGATAAATATTATTATACACAGGCAGGGTTCCACTGCCTTTAAACCATGTCATTTTAAAAATCATGTTTTCCTTCTCTGACAGTTCTGATTGGAATTTGCTGGAACCAAGTCAACAAATAAGTGAGAAAATCTCAGAATCACTTATGTTGTGCATGTATCTTTACAAAAATATATTTTTTTCACACTATCCCAATAACTGATGACACATGCTAGAAAACAAGTTCAGCTTTAGTGAGCAGCAGAATGTAGCATCCATCTTGCTTATCCTCCCACAGCTTGACCTTACACAACGGGGCATCCTTCAGGATAAACAATCTTCACATTTTAAGTGATCATAAGCTATAAAACAAGACAGTTACCCAGAGCTATTAAAAAAAACAGGATTATTTGAATCAGCTCAGACACACCGCATCTAAAAATTACATCTACTTGGGTTACATTTTCAAAATGATTATTTTGTTCCAAAGAACTGGCAAAAGGTTAGTGGTTATTTTCACAATTGGTTCCAGATGTTTACCATTCTTTTCTGATGTCCTCAGGAAGATCATGTCGGCAGGGACTCGCTGGTTCTACATGTGAAAAGAAAAAAGGTATCAAGTATTCACTGCAAAGCCTTAATTGGAAAGACAGCATTAAACCAAGAAGATTTTGCAACAGAAGAATACCACTTAGAAAACAGATTTGCTGTCATTTTAGAACAATAAAATTACAGGGTGAATCAAATATGATCCACATACTACAGTTGTGGGACTTTCAACAGAAGTTCAACAAAATGCTAGACAATGGAACTTATGTTACCTGTGATTAAGAAGCCCCATTCATTTCAACAGGTCTACAGTATTTGGAAATAATGCTGGCTTTGTTCTATGTATTTTTCAAGTGAATTATTTTCAACCACAACAGTTACTTCATAAACAATATTGGGAACAGGTTTTAAGTCTCTTCTACAGGTGTTTTACTGAAACACAAGTAGACCTCTGTTGGGAGGAAACATGATCATATGCACATAGTAAGCCTTGTTCCCCAGTGTTCTCACATGCCCAGCTGCTGGTGGGGCATTGAGATACTTTATAACAATCAGGCAGTCATTTTTAAAAGATCTGAAAAGGGTCACCAACTTTAAATCCATTGACATACTCTTGCCAGAAAACCCAGCATTATAAAAGCAGTGGGGGGAAATGCAGCATACCTTTTCCACAATTATCAGATCACCCACTTGAATGTTGCAGCTTTTCACTTTGACAGTCCCTGTGCAAAAAAATATACAAAAATATTGTCAATTCACCCATATACTGTATGTCTCTGGGGTAGCCTCTCTTTCAACTTTCAGCAACCCTCCTTAACAGGCACGGATCTAAAGAGTCCTTCCAGGTATATACAATCCTTTCTGCGCATGTATCAGACTATCTTGCACATACACACCTGCAGCTTCCCAGGGTAGCATCAAACACCAGCTCGCCCTGAGTTTTGGGAGCAGTTGCATTGCAACACAATCACCTTGAATTTGGATGGAGAGCTTCTGAAATTCATTCTGTGCAGCACTACACAGTTGTTTCTGTTGTGGCCCTTGAACCCAGTTCTCCCAGGTGGTCAAGCAGGAGCGTTAACCTATTTCCAAGAACCCCTGAACAGGGGATCTATGAATCTAAGCTTGGGTCTCAGATAAATGAACCAAAGTTGTGGCATGTAACACACAGAAACACAAAGACAAGCACACACAGAGAGACACACATGTGTTCAAAAGGCAGCCTAGTTTGCATCACTAGCAAAGTAGTCTAAGTGGGAGAAACAAAGCTGAAGTATAAGAAAGCTCCAGCAAATGCTGTACAGTACATTTAAGATATCTCCAAATTAGGTTTTTCACATATTAAGTAGTACAACCAGATAGAGATGACCTTTATAGTGCAATCCTATGCTAATAGGACAATCATCTAAATAGTGCAACAAAAGACCTTTTTATTCAGGCAAGTTTTGGGCATTTGAAAGGTTGCCAAGGAAAGGGTTTTCAACTGGTGAATGTCACACTTTTTATTGAAGTGTTTTTCACTGCATTTAATCCAACTGCATTTTGCCATTATAACTTCATGTTTTAAACTTAATTTAGTCTCATTTGAATTAAAATCTGTTTAATTTTGTTTGTGTTTTTATGTTTTTGTCTGGATCTCCCTTGGGTTAATCTTATTCTTGTTCTGAGCCCCAATCTCAAGACAAAAGTGGGATATAAACAAACACAATACAGTGGTGCCTCGCTAGACAGTTACATGGCTGACAGATCTCCTATGACTCATATCTATAAGTGGCACTTAGCAAGACTGTTATCTTTGGAGATGCAAACCCAGTTTCACAACTGCAAAGTTTTGTCATAGGATGTTTTAGATTGAGATTCTAGTTCAATTCTAGGGTACTTTGGGAGACTGAAGGATTACTCTTTAAAAATCTGTACAGAAGCCTGTGGAACTCCACTAAAACTGAGACCCAATTTGGGAACAGTTGGAATATATTTATAAAACTTGTTCCAAAAAAGAATTTTAAAAGAGAATGAATTGTCTACCAATATACAACAACAACAACAACAACAACAACAACAACAACAACAACAACAACAACAACTACTATTACTATTACTATTACTATTACTATTACTATTACTATTACTATTACTATTACTATTACT